ACATATATTTGAATGAAAGTGTATAGCTAACATTTAGCCTCATTGAGATGGTTTATGCATTTAAACTTCACAACAGCTAAATATTGCATATTGTACTATGCATATCTTCACATTTATCATCTAGAAATCAAAAGATATGTAACTAAATTTGTTTTTAAGGCTTACCAAAACTGCACATGATCTTTAATCTCACAATGAGGAATAGATATTGAACATTCTAGTGTTTTTTATTGGTGAATTCCTCTTTTCTAACTTCAGCTTTCTTATTGTTTTGTGTATGCTTAGAATAAGGCAAGATCATTATTTTTCAAAGCATGAAGGATGACTACTTACATTTATGGCATTATCACATAGCGGATATCAGTTTATAATTGGCAAATATTAAGTAAACCTTGGATCCTCTCTAAGCAAATAAATGACCTGCCTGACTAATATTCAAACTGAAACCAATAGTATAATCAAAACTAAAGCTTACTAATAAAGGGCAATAATACAACCAATTGAAACTAAAGTGACTCCTTTACGAACTGTAAGGATTAGTTGGGGGAAAAAGACATGGGAGCACTCAGCAGTGAACAATTCATCTGTGGAAAGCTCAAAAGAGGGCTGGTAAACTGAAAAAGAGTTCTTCTGGTAATATAAAATACTTAAATATAACACTGAGATATAATCACACTTTTATGACACCAATGACTAAAAGAGCTCCCACAAACAGAAAATTATTTTTTAAAGTTTTATATTAATCTGAGTCATATTTGACTTTGTCTTTTGACATACAGTACCTGCCCTAGTAAAAATATCAAAGTGAAAAACAGCAAACAATTTAAAAACAAAACTATTGTCAACTCTTCATATATTTTTCATCTATCCTTTGTTCTTAATCCTTAGCCTAAAAATATGTGTTATTGTTGTTGCCTATTTACCTTTTCCATTAAAAAAATTGTTCTTTTAGGAATTACCATAATAGCAGAAAATAGCAAAATATATAATTTGTGCCTTTAAAAAATCTATCAAGAAGGAAAGATAAATATTTGTAGTCTTATATATTTGTTCTCTCTGATCTGGCCTAGTTTCTGTTTCACATTTAAAGAAGAATAGACCAAGGGGCAAGTTTGTGAATGCAAAGAAAGGTTTTATGGGCAAAAAGAATTTCCATTTTCGGTTTAACTTAATAAAATTTGGAGTGGACTTTAAAAGATTTTTTTTTTTTTTTTTTAATGCACATATAAGTGCTCTTTAAAAAAATAAAGGAATCAGGAACAATTAGTGTTTAGATCATGATTTGGATACTTGATAGTTGATACCTTTAAAGTGTTGAAAGCATGAATAGGAATAATGATAACAATGAGTATTTGAATAGTGCTACATCCTTGTCGTGAAATGCTCAAGGCGCTGAGTGGGCAAGAATAGGTTTCTGTAAAAACTCAGCAAAAGAAAGAAAGGAAGATAATTCAGGTTTCATGCCTTGCACGGCACACCTGCATATTTACTTATATTTTGGATAATGTTAAGTTCTTTAATGGAAAAGGACATGAATTGCACTAAAGATCCAATGCCTCAGTACATCCTGGACCTAGGTCCATGGTTACATGCAGGTCAGAGTGTACAGTATAGGATTAAAAAGTTCAATAAAAAAATTGAATAAAATGTATACTGGGAGTCAGCTCTCTCTATTAAGACGTATCTGATCAATCGTCACTAATTCTTCGTGGAATGAAAAGTTCAAAACAAAATTCCAAGTCTGCTTATTTAGTCTTTCTTTTGTTTGTCACTGCATAAAATACCTTTCAGTCTGCGCACAAATTGGCTGTATCCAAAATCTCAGAACAAACAGAATAGCTGAGAGAGAGAGAGCTGTAGAATAAATAAACTGTATTAATGGAGGACAAAGTTTGAATTGAAATCCAAAGTGCAAATATGAAGTGGAATTAGATACAGATAGCTGGCATAGACTTCTGTTGCCTAGTATAGATCTAGATCGCAGTGCCACTGGTCTGGCTGCCATGCAGGTAGCCGCCACAAAAATTGGATCAAAAGTTTGAGGAATATAAAGCCCATGTCTTGCGTCAAAGTGTGTGTTTTGCTGTTAAATGTTGGAAAAACTAAGTTATAGCGAACTCTTGTGATTTTTCTTCAAGTGAGATCTGGCGGGAATTTACGGTGATTGTTCCTTTTGGAAGCATGGAATTTGTATGTTTGCCACGTGACCTGAGCACTGTAGGACCTCTCTAAGTCTATTGGATTGGTGGTGTTTGGAAACATTTGTATTGACGAAGAACATGGTCATGTGACTCTAAGAATGTGCGCACATTCATATGCACAATGTCTTTCGGTGTTTACATCAGTTAGGGAATATTGGTACATTTGGTAGAGTACCTGGATCAGTGTTTAGCATTTATTCTTCAGGCTATGTACACTAGGCTTGTCTCCATCAACTTGAGTTTGCCAAAGCACCTGCTATTTTCAGACTCAGGATATTATATCCCGAAGCTCGGAATTGCGACTGGGATAGTTGAAATAGCAGGTTATTTGGCAAACTCGAGCTGATGAAAACAGGCCTACTTACTCTGTATTCTGTAACATTGTGTAGAGAGAGAGAGGGAGCAAGAGAAAGATGGGTTGGGGGACCCATAAGCATCCAGTCTGAGTAAAAATCAAAAGAAACTGAATACAGAAAAGCGATCTATGAGCCTAGCCGATTCCTGATTTGCCGACTTTTCCTTTTCATTTTTGTAAAAGAAAATATCCTTGTCGATCATGCCAGAACTTAAGAAGGGCAGACAATTATATCTTTTGATAACACAAAGTTGCTTGTTCTGGCTCTCATCAGTAACTTTTGAAATCCAGGCCAGCTCTTCTAGCTTTGAGAAGACAATAACATGGAGTCTATAATTTAAATATAAATTTCAATCATGGATCATTGACTCGAGGTAGTTTGAATTATATTAACCTTGGATGTACAAGGGCATTGAGAGATTGAGAATGAAATTTACTGGTATTGTAGTACATGTACATGTACGTGTATTAGTTTGTGGGAGGTTCCTTTGAGAGAGATGTCTCCCAGAAGAATCCACATTAGGCATGTTTCCATCAGCTCAAAATTGCCAATTACTATCCCGCTAAATATTTGAACTAGCCCGCTAAATATTTGAACTATCCCGATCGCAAATTATCCAGTTAATTTGCGTCTTCATCAGCCTGAAGTTGCAATTAGCGGGATATTTGGTCAAGATAATCATCCCAAGATATCTTGAGCTAGTTTGAAAAATATCCCGCTATTTGTCCGGTGCGTCTTTACCAGCCCGAAGACTCGCACTTTGCGTGAACGCTGAGCAAAATATCTGGAGCTGATTTCTTGGGCTCCAGTTTTAAGTTTTGAGGTCAATTCTCGAGCTGATGAAGACGCGATTTATCTTCTGGATTATTTCCCAAATCAGAAATAGGGGGCTATTTTGCAATCTCTAGCTGATGAGGACAGGCCTATTGTATTCATCATGATCACTCTGCATGCAGTTTGATGATGTGCTTGCTAGCTTTTAATTTAATGAGATTGAAGTTGTGAGAAGGGTGTATTTTTCTCGATTTGAACAATTACATTTTGTTGCCGAGATTTCTGACTTGCTCTGATCAATTGGCCGCACATTCTCAACACTTCGCCTTTCATGATTAGGGCGTACCTGTTCAGCTGACTCAAAAAAAATTTTTTTTTTTTTTTTTTTACCACTCTTAGAAATTGGCATTGGGCATTATTTTGGCTTGTGATAGGAGGTTTGCTTATCAATTGACATTGTGGAAGGAACATATTCAGTAGGTAAGGCTCACACTAATTTTACTGTAGACGGTCCAGACAAAATTTGAGCCTATATGCATAGAGCCCTGTGTAGAAATTCTGACATGTGGTCCCGACCTGCATTTTGGGCACCTCAAGTATCTAGCCCTTCAGTAGGGTTAGGCCTAGTACAGGTGTACATGTCTTCATGAAGTCATTTCCATGTACCTGTAGGCCTGCACAAACCAGGAACTTTGTACCATTGCGATCAAGTTTGTCTTTTTTGATAATCTATAGGAGTAAACCCATGCAAAAAGGTGATAGTATTCACAGGGAAGAGAGAAATGTCCTTGATTTCTGCCGTTTCCTGATCAGACGTTTCCTGAAATCATGCCTTCAATATGCTGAACAAAGCCTGAGATTACAGAAGAAGGAAGGAACAGTTCACCCTCATCCTCAGTGTAATTAGAGAGCCTCGATAAGCATCTATCGATCTGTAGCATGGATACCTCCTTCTAACTTTGTCAACAGATCTTATTTGTAAATGATCATTATATCCTGCGATTTTCCTGCTTAGATAGATGGACATGAGACTTTGTTTTCTTTGAACAAGGAAGAAGGTTGCATGACACTGTAGAGTACAGAGGACAGTTTGTTTACCATGCATGTCTCTCAGTGTTTACTTTGCACGAGGATTGAATGAATAACTATATCCTTCTCAGTTGATGATGAAGTGATCTTAGTTTGGAGAAGATGTATTACTGCGTGACAGTAAAGTCTCCAAAGGTTGGTATATTGACATAACTCTCTCTTTACTTTTTAATTTTTTTTTAAAATTGTACTTGTCGTGTTAAGGTTACATGTCATTTTTCTGAAGGTTCATAATTTGTAAGGTTTGTATAATTTCCTAAAAATGAAACGGGGGTTTGTAATGCCGAAATTCATTTACGAACCCCCATGTACGGAAAATTTGTGTTTTGGAATTATGAACCTTTAGAAAAATAAACATTCGGCAAAACAAGTGCATTCTGGTTTGTTTGATAATCCCTGTATTTTTTTGTGACAAATTGTTGAGCAAAAATTGCTCAATTAAATACTGAAACCACAAATATAGCTTCTAGATTGTACCTACTACACATTTGTTAAATGTATAAAAATCACAAATATTTTTTTCAAAAGTGTAGCAACTTAACAATTTTGTTACTGTGTTGTTTGTACTTATCTATTTTAGGAGGGAGTTGTAAGGAATAAGAGGATTTCTCCCGAAAGCATCCCGTTCAAACCTGACCAGGCAGAGCTAGAGGAATGCGTACAGAAACTACAAGATCTTTCTCATCTGGTAAGTTTGACTTTATCTCCTTCCTACAAACGACTCCAAACTTGGGCCAAGACGAGGAAAGTTTGGTATTGTTTATAGGTCATAATCATAGAGCATGGCTTTAAATCAATTGATTTACAATACTATTTTTTCCCCGTAACATGAGAGTAATTTTAATCATTTCATTCTTTTAATTAAATATAATGTTAATTGTTATTGTAAATCGGGGCACGCTACAAGAGTCCTATCTCGCACCCGGGCAACGTGCCTGACACGGCCGGTTGTAGCAACTACTCCGAAGATCAAGATAATTAATCTTGGTCTAAGACTCTAAGGAGACACGAACGAACAAATGCTTCAAACATACTGAAGAGGCAGGCGGTTTGTTGTGAATCCATCTACCGTATTCAGTACCGTTTTGTTTTCAGAAAAAAAGGTACTTGTAGCTTCAAGCTTGTGTTGATATACTGGTATTAATTGTTACCGAGTATTAACACTTTGATTGCTTTTTGTGCCTTTATGCACTGTTGCTCATTTGCCACACATGCATCTTTGCACAAAAGAATGGCACCAAGTGAGGGAAGGAATGCCATGTGGAACACAATAAAAAGCCTTGTAAAATGACCCATTTATGGTCTTGCTTAGCTCCATTACAGCCCTTTTAACACTGGCGATGGCAACAGTTTAAAAATCTTGATTCCTATTGGTATATCTATCCCATGATAATACAATGTGGCACAGTGAGAATATTGCCTGGCAAATAAAGAGTTAAGAAGAATATTATGGGAGTGATTTGTGACCTGCAGCAAAGTGGGTGGCTACATGTAGGTGGTTCAAGTAAAGTGTCACACAAGTCTATATAGCGAGATTCACACAACAGACAGTTGGTTAAATTTAACTTTAAGTTGTGGTTTTAAACATCAAAGTTATATTGCAGTTTATAGTGACCATGCGAACACATTCGTGGTCACAAAACTTTTTATTTGAAGATTAATGTACATGTATGTATGTTATTGTTCCCAATATATTTATTTTTTTGATGTACATGTACAGCGCTCTGATCAATAAAGCACTTAGTAGGAAACAATCATTTTAATTATTATTAATCATTAGCATGATAAAAACAAGTGATGGGAGTCCTCACCTGAAATGCTGTGCCCTGTGGACGCAATTTACTTTCAGGTTACGCCAGTTTTGTAGTAACCATGACTACTAGTACAGTGCACTTGCCTGGCTTGTCATTTGAGTTTTGAATACTTGTTGTTTTGGTCCCTTGGGAATCCTCATGGTTGTTTGTGGATAGTAAATTTCTTTGTGTATAGCTTTGAGATTGTTCAAACTTGAAGTTTAAAACTAGAGTTTCAAAAACGGTCCTACATGAACATAACTTTTGATAGAGGATATGCTTACATAATGAATGGCCTGACGTGTTCTACTATTTCAATATCATCTTTCAAATCAACTTTATTAATGCACACCTATGCATAGTAGACAGCCATAAATGTATGGTCTTGCAAATGTGAATGATTTGATTTGTGTGCACGCACAATAAGCGTATCAAAATGAAGTAAATCTCTTCAATGATGGATACAAATCTATTAAAAAAAAAGGATTTCATTTGTAAAATGAAATGATGCATCAGCCATTTCAAATTGTGACCATTAAATTTTATGGGCAGTGAATACAAATCTTAAGAAACAGAAATTAAATAAGAGAAGAAGATGAAGAAACCTAACAAACAGTTTTATCAATCTATTTGCTTGAAAAGGTGTGTCTTTTAGTACGCTTTTCTTAAAAAAAATAATACAGTTTGTGCTGGCCTACAATGCAACCACATAAAAGACTTTTGAAAGTGTTATTAATCTTGGCACCTTTAATATCTTGAAGCAACATTCCTTTGGCCGCATACCAAGGTGTCTGTTACAATCAAGGGAAACTGCTCAATTTGAACTTGTTTCAGACATATCTTTACATACACCCTTCCTATCAAAATGTTTTGTTTAAAAACTTGAGACATATGTATTGGATGACAAGGAAATGGTATGACTTTTATATTGATAATTAACATTGTAAGATTTAAGAGAAAGCAAATTACCCGGTAGGCTTTTATACACAGACATCTTCTTACAATCTTACAATCTTTAATACATCTTTCCAAGCTTGGTCTATCAAGATATTTCTATTTTCCAGCACCATTCAGGACCCTGTTTCATAAAATACTTGTTATCAATAACAAGTTTCAATAACTGTTATAATGCTATAAGCTAATAAAATAGTGGCATTTGATTGGCTGTGAACTGATTTGTCATAGATCTGTGCCAGTTGTTTATTGTTAACAAGTTTTATGAAACATGGCCCAAGTCTATTTTATATTCATAAGCGTTCCCAAACACTCATGTCTTATTCCTGTTGTTTATGTTGGACCAGGGAGAGTGTTAGAGAACTCTCCCTGGTTGGAGCAGGCTTCCTGCATGTGCATTGAAGGAGGAAATTACTGGGAATAAATGTTAGGCATATAGGCAGGATCAGGAGGAAAAGTGTCTTTACATAAAAATTGAAATAATTTGTAAAGTAGACTGAACTTGTCACTTTGATAGGCTGGTAGCAAGTGACATTAATCTTGTTCCATTTTTTTAGCAGTTTTAACCTCTCAATACATATTTTAGCTTGGTTTTCTACTGAAAAATTTAACATGTTCATGAAATACTTATAAAAGGGGGTGAATTACGCTTTCATAGATTCACCCTCCAATAAAAGTTTTAGTTTGTAGAATCAAGAAAGAGTACATAGCAACTTTTAGCAAGTATTTCAAACTCTACTTTAATATTTCAATCAGATTTGTTTGTTTACATGCATGGTCATGTGATTTCTGTTATGGGGAAAGACAGTACACTACAATTCAAAAAGTCCTTGAACACTGCGTAATATATAGTACTTTAAAGCACTCATCCTGTCGTTTGATCCCTTAAAGTCAACTAAATCCATGGGTCCTGTTTCACAACACTTGTCATCAGTGACACGTGACAGTTTTTGTTATAAGCTACTGAAATCCTTGCTTCTGATTGGCTATCAGCAGATTTGTCACTGATTTTTGCCATTTGTCATTGAAAAAAGGCTTTGTGAAACAGGTCCCCACCTGCATTTACACTGCAAGCAAAAACCGTTGTTTTTCATCAACTTTTCCTACATTCCAGAGTTTTGTCAGAAGTTGCTAAGCAGCAACCCATATTACACCGAAAAACCCACCTCTGGGGTGCGGTTTAGTTAATGGCGGCCGAAACTCCACTGTTTTTTGTTCAGTGTTAATGCTCCTTCTTACAACACCAATTGATTATTCGTTTTTTGGGCACATGCGCACAACTTGACAAATAAATAACAGAATTGTAAACACCATTTTTTTAATTGTTTTTTTCAGTTGTGTAAATAGTAGTTAAAAAAAGCAATGTTTTTCCAATCGTTTTATCTGTAATGTGAATGGCCCTACAGTAACTTTAATCTGACTGTGTTTGTTCAGTGTAAATGCTCGCTCTCACAACACCAATTAATTACTTGGTTTTTTGGGCACATGCGCACAACTTGACAAATATAACAGAATTGTAAACACCATTTTTTTAATTGTTTTTTTCAGTAGTGTAAATGGTAGTTAAAAAAAGTAATGTTTTTCCAATCGTTTTATCTGTAATGTGAATGGCCCTACAGTCACTTTAATTTGACTATGTTTGATGTGTGAATAATTTGTAAACAAACCTGTTGACTTCTTAGCAGATCATGAGATGCACAACCAGAGAGTGATTCAATGTACCAAGGTACTCCTAATTGTTAATGTATGCCTTATCAGCAAGTCATTTGAATGTTGGCTGGGGATCGATTCCTTATTCCAAGACTGAAAGTGTAATATTCTGGATGAAAGGATTGTCTTATTTGTGGCCTCATGTTCAAGTTTTGGAATAACATTTTACGTTGTTTCTTTAGAGAGGAGGTGTGTATTAAGTATACGGTAGATCATTTTCATTCTCAGGATACTTTTTTTTCCCAGCTAGAATAGATTTGAAAGTCTAAAAGGGAAAAACTGCAAGTAACTAATACTGATTTGTATTCATTTATTAGAATATCAAACCATTACATGGTGTGTTTTGTATTGATTTGTTTCTAGGAGAAACTTATCTTTGTTTTCTTGATAATGGATCGTTCATCCTTTTCCTCGTGATTAAGATTAGGAATCAGATTTTATATTTTTGAGTTACAGGTGTGTGTAAATAAAAAAAATGAAGAGTTTGTGAAGTTAGACTGTAGCATACATGTAAGTTTAGTCAAATCTAATATATTCCAACCTCCTAATTCAAATCATGCCTCGGTACTTATCTATTTCAGCAGATGTGAACATTTTGACTTCACCAGAGGAGATTGCATTGCATCTTTGAATGTTTTTCTTACAATAGAAATATATTACCATATAAATGCTGTGAAGTGTGAATCGAAACAAAGCTCTTCATTTGGTTTTGATATTTTGACCTGTACTCTCTTGTACTGCCTTTTAAATCAACCTGCTCATGCAGCTTTAGGCACTGTCCCTGATAGTGTGCTCCAGGGGATGTTCGTGACTTCTAAACAATACGTCAGACGAACCCAATAAAGGGGTCTAAAACTTCCGAGAAATGACAATGGATGGCTGGTATGGGGTGGTTTCTATTGTCCCCATTGGTATTGAATGGGTTTCGCTCATGCATGCATGTTTATACCGAGAACTCAAAAAGTATTAGGACTGTATTTAGTACCCTCAGTATAGTGTGCGCTTTAGAACGGATATCACACAGGACTTTTGCATGGGATATATCAAGGAATATTGCTTTGGATATATCAAGGAATATTTGCCACAATAATTTTCATGTAGGAGTATGAGTACAGATCTGTAGAGCTCTACAACATTACACAGGTAAAGTTTCTCAAAGTTTTATTTAACCCGTTTAAAGGCTTTGATAATGATAGGCAAGAAAGCAAACTATCGGAAGTAATTATCGGAAGTAATTAGGGCCCTATATGTTATCAAAGCTGCCAACCATCCTATTTTGGGAGAATGATTCCTATTTTGTGTCCTTCAAGCTATTGTTTTGAATCCTAAATTCCTCTCTTAACATTATTGTGGAATATTCTGTGTGAAAAGTTTAAGACTGTATTCCTAATTTTGCCTTGAGATATTCCTAATTTTTTGCTGTGAAAAGTTGGCAGGTATGTGTTATGCTTAACAGGTCTACTCAAGAACTGTCATGGGAAATACAAGTACACTACAGTCAAACCTGTCTAATATTAGAAGTCATGTGATATTGATCGCAACTAAGAGACCTATCCAGCTAATTTGCGTCTTCATTAGAACGAAGTAGCAAATAAGCTGGATAGTTGGTCGGGATAATATCCCAAGATATCTCAGTCTAGTTTGCGGTTTTCCGTGCTTACTCGAGGTCAGTGGTTGTACTAGCGCGCTGAGCGGTATAGATCGCATGTGCGAACCGGAAATCGTTGTGCATGATGGGATCGGGATATTTGACTCCGGACTTCGGTCTAATGAAGACGGTCGCAAACTATCCCGCTAGTTCGGAAATAGTGGGATATTTTGCAAACTAGACCGAGATATCTTGGGATATTATCCCGACCAACTATCCAGCTAATTTGCTACTTCGTTCTAATGAAGACGCAAATAGCTGGATAGTTTGCGATCGGGATAGTTCAAATAGCTGGATATTTGGCAATCTCAAGATAGTGAAGACGGGCCTATGGAAAGCAAGAGTTTGATTCACAGGAGCAGCAAGTGCACCACAAGTACTACATGTAGTCTGCAAGCACAGACCCTAATTTGACACTTTATCAAAAAATCATTGTGCCTTGAGAGAAGCCTGGCCCAGCTACTCAGGAGCGGCTATAGTACATGGCCTATGGTAGTCTTATAGTGCAGACTCTCTTTTACGACTGACCAGGGTTTGTGCTTGCAGACTACACAAGTACTAACAGAGTATAATTTGGTGTGATTTTCAGTTAGAGCTCAAGCAAGGTGTATTTAATCAGGATGGTCAACTGTAGTCTTTAACATTGGATAGAATATTGTCCTCTATGTGCGATTTCAAAATTTAGTTGAAGTACCAAAAGTTAAAAAAAGTGGTATTCTTGCAGTGTGTTGTACACATGCTGGTCTGGTCCTAAGTTTGCTGTACTTGTTAATAATTTCTTTACAACCCTGGCTACTGGTCTCATTTTTATATCCTGTTACTAGTACTTTAGAATAGAGTGAGCTGTGGCATTGATACCTAGACAGAATGAAGAGCACTGTTTTCTATAGTCTGCCAAGTTTCATTACAATCAGATGATTCCTTTACAAAATATTTCCATAGAGTTCTAATCCTCCTTTTGTCACATCGCACAATACATTAGGAATCAGAGAGTTAAAGGTAAAACAAGGTTTTGGTACGGGGTCATGAATTTGGTTCAAATGAACATATTGGAAGCATATGCGATCCTATAATATTTAATGGTTTAAAATTGAGTCAAAAGTGTCAAAATTATAAATAATATACCCTTTTATGTTGTGTAGCTCCCTCCCAAGACCGATATTACTTCAGCGTTAAAACGACCGATTTGCTATTCCCGTTTTGAAATTATATATGAGAGCTGCATATTCTGAGATTGTCATGGTCGCAGCTACCATGGAATGGCCTTATTAAGTGATGATGATGATATGGGCGATTTTGGCATATTGTAAACAATTACCATCATCTAACCAATATAATTCATTGAATGTACATTTTTTTATTTCTGGAAGTGTGAAGGCATCAGTTCCACATTGAATTAATGTTATCCTTCTAACTGACACGGTTGAGTTCACATTCTTCTCTCTCTTTAATACACAGGATGATACATCATCAGATGAGGATGTGCCTGACTGTGAGTCCATAGAACCTTTACTAGAGTCTGGATACAGGACAGAGGCCAGCATTGGACGTAGCCCTGTCCCTTCTAAACATCAACTGTTTCCTCAGTCGTTCCCTATTTCAACCGTTGTAGGTAAGAACTTTCCACAGCACCATCCCTTACAAGCCTCAATCGTATTGTTCATCTGTCATACTTTGGTCCAACAGTCATCAGTTTCCACATATGCGGAAAGCCATAAATCGCCAGACTTGGTGGAAATACTATTAATTGGGTAAACACCTGAAGGTTGTCAAATTCCCCAATGAGAGCCTGCTCCTATGCGTCTTTAATAGCACCATTCCTGACAAGCTTCCACTGATTCCCCAGCCATGTCACAACCTAAAGAATCATGGATAAGCATTGGATGTTGCCCCATCTCCTTTTAGGCCTATACTGTTCCCTCAACCTTACCCCATTTCAAACAATGTTTACTTTAGATGTAGTTTATCCTATCAAAAAAAGGAAAATTCTGAACCTGTTGCATCACTTTTATTGTTATAGGTGAGTTGTTTTTGCAAATGCAAATCTTGTGCATGACAGATGAAGAGTTTTCCTTAAAATTGTACATAATTTGTTCATGTGAAAAACTGCATTGATGGCTTAATGAGATTGTCTGGTATCTTGTGTATAAATAGTAATAATACCCATTGAACTTTTTATTTTATTTTCTCTACCTCTCAGATGCCTTAGCCTTAGATGCCTTCCCGCAATCATTCCATCCTATTCCTAGTCTAGACAGAGCAACCTTCCTCTCCAGTTCTCGTGGCCTCCTGCCGCTCTGTCCTCGCTGCGGATATCACCTCGACCCTTCTCAACACCAAGTCTTCTCATCTACGGAGATCCTCTACCCTAAGCTCTTCAATGCCTTTGATCCCATTGGGCTTCTCTCAGGGGACGCCACAAGCATAACCGGACTCTCGGACACTCTAGATGACTTGTTCAAGAATGAAGTAGCGAAGCCATCGCTCCAGGATTGTGGCACGCAAACTGAAACTGTCAAAGAGCACCGTAAAGAATCATCACGACTTCCGTGCCATGCCTGCGTCCAGACTGACTTAGAGGTTCGTATTCGTAAATTAGCCGGCACACAGACTGAAGAGGATGCTGCTTGCTTGTTGAACAAGAGTTCAGAGGTCACGCATCAAGGATCAAGCACATGTAGCCAGGGAGTGTCGGCTAGCGTTGTGCTGACAGAAGCTCAATCACAAACAGACAATACAGAAGAGAGCTGCGATACTGTCCATGTAGACAATGCGGTTGACGTGAGTCTAGCGAAGGTATCGCTGACAGGGAACTCATCCACGCAGATAGACTGCGTTTCCAATGAGGAATCATTGGTAGAATTAACTAGCATTGCAACACAAACCTTGCCAAACCCTAACCAAGCTACCTCAGCATCTTCTTTCACCTTTGACCTTACCATCCCCGTACCTTCTAACGATCATCTGGCCCTCGTCAAGACATCCTCTGTATCATCCACCTATCTGGCGCCCTCTACCTTGCCTCCGCATCTCATCTCTGAAGATTGGGATTCTGATATCAGCTCCGATTCGCCCCTGTTTGTCAGTGCACGGTCGTCACCTCTCGTCTTCGGCAAGCAAGAAGGGGAACCACCCAAGCCTGTCGAGACGCTGAGCTTCAAACCCATAGGTGCAAGCAGGTATGGTGGATTTTAAACAACTGGATTCTCACATTCCCAAAAGCTTAATACAGGAGACAACCGGTTCCAGTAGCCAATGACTTGATATCATGCTAAAAAATAAGTTCAAAGATTTACAAGAATGCTCATGTACTTTAGGGGTTGATCAAAGAATATATGCTTCTTAGGTGGCTGTTCATGTTATTAATAATTATATATGCAGAGATGCCAACTGTTCCGTTTTTGGCGTATTTGTTCTGTTTTTTCGCTACGAATACGGCAGTATGTTTTTTGTATGTTTCGTTACGTTTTTTTTTTTTTTTTTTTTAGTGACATTTTTCTTAATTTCTGATCATGGGCTTTGTGTCATAAGTTTATTATGCACCTATATCTTCAAACGATGCACGCAGGATGGTGATACAGGCCCCAAACTGCGCACATTGCGAACAACCCACACATGTAATGTATGCACGTCGCGCTGCGATCCGGGTACGTATACGTGGTATTGCCAGGTTTTTTAAGCTGCTTGATTGGGCGATATGTTGAGTTGAGAGATTTTTTCTAAAATACTGTTTTTTGCTCTTAAGAATACTTTTTTTTGTAGAAGAAGTTTGGCATCTCTGTATATGGCACACACAAAACAGAAGACATTGATAAAAGTGTAATAACAATGATTATGAACTAGATGTGGTGGCCACTGCTTAAAGAATCTGATTATTTGTCTTTCCCTTGTTGTCTTGCCAGAGAAAAGATGGAACAGACTGTTCCTGCATGTCTAGATGAGAACTCTAATAAAGACATAGCAAGACACAAGCCCAGTGTACACAGGTGAGTGAATGTACATCAGGCCAGTTTTCATCAGCTTGAGATTGCCAAATAGCCCGCTATTTCTGATTTGGGAAATAATCCAAGTTACAAATCACGTCTTCATAAGCTCGAGACTTGACCTCGAAACTTGAAACTTAAGCTCAAGATATTTTGCTCAGCGTTCACGCATACACTGTAGTGTGAGTCTTCGGGCTGGTGAATTCGCACCGGACAAATAGCGGGATATTTTGCAAACTAGCCCAAGATAACTTGGGACGATAATCTCGACCAAATATCCTACTAATTGCAACGTCAGGCTGATGGAGACGCAAATTAAGCCTAAAATTAACTGGATAATTTGCGATTGGGATAATTCAAATATCGGGATATTTGGCAATTTCGAGCTAGTGGAGACAGGCCTACTGACAATCTCTTTCATTTGTCTTTAATCGTCCTTGGTCAGTTCAGTAAATCAGCTGTTTCTGAATGCTTATAAACCTTTGAAGTGTTGCACTGTTGTTGTTGTCACCTTCCAATGTTTTCACTGAATGCCGCTACTAAATGCCAAGGATTTAACACCATTCAATATCAACTTAATCCATCTTTAACCACAAGCCTTATATAGCATTGGCTGTGTATAGTATTCCTCACGATGACCCTGAGCTGAGGAGAGTTAGTTGTCTTTTCAGCAAGAGAAACCCTCATAGAAAAGATTGTCTGTTAAGAGCAGAAAGGATGTTAGTTTAAAATGTTTCAGGATATGAATTAAAGTGGAGTTCTGAGGGGTGTTTCGCAAAGATCATAAATCAAGCTTAATTCTAAGTTAGACTTAAATATTATTGAGAGCCATTTGTAGCCTTATAATGAAATATATTCAAAAGCAAAAATTAAAGTATTTTAGACTGTTAATAAATTTCACATCAAGAACATGAAATCTTCTTGATAATGGAAAATATGATTGATTTATATGAACATTTGATGCCTTTCAAAATAACTTTTGGCCCTCGAAACAGGATCCTTTTCACACCTATCGTAGATTTAGGATTGAGGTCAGATCGTTGTGTACTTGTTATAGTGTGCATTGTTATCCAATATCTTGTATCGTCAGTTGTGACAATAGAGCTCTTTGCAAGTGCCACTCCTTGTACAAACTGGTACAGAAAACATTGCATTGTGTTTTATTTTCTACGTGAAAAAATAAGACTGTCAAATATTATAATATATATTTTGGAGTATTACTGGATGAGGGCTTTTGAAGAAGTTCTTAACTTTTAAAGTCTTCTCTACCAATAGCATTTTTTTTCGTTTTCTTTTCCATGTTGACACCAACACAATATGTGATTATGCAGATAATCATGAATACAAAAGACAGCCACACACTTTCAATGGACCCATTTACTTACATATTCAAATGTTATGCATACGATGTAAACAAAGGTTGTTCTTGACCACCCTGAAGCTTGTTTGAGGCTTGTCCAACATAGCAACAATGTATTGTATGCAGACTGGATTCCAAGTATTATATTTCATTCATTAATGTCAATGACAGGTTAATGGAATAACCCAACACTAGGTCCCCTGGGAAGAAAAAATCTATAAATTTGAAGTTAGTGAGCCTTTTGAGTAAAATATGTTTCAAGTTTTTGTCTCGCCTGCGTAGCAAAAAGCGAGACATAGGCGCCGCTTTTCCGGCGACGGCGACGGCGACGGCGTCAACGTCAACATCAAAAACTTAACCTAAGGTTAATTTTTTGAATTTTTGGTATAATTTTTAAAGTATAAGTTCTTAGTCAATGAAACTTTGACTATAGGGTAATCAAGTATCCCCAATCATGTGAGTAGAATTTCAGATCACAAAGTCAAGGTCAAAGGTCATTTCAGGTCAACAGACTTGGACTATGTTGTAGCATCATCATCGAAAACTTAACCTAAGGTTAAGTTTTTGAATTTTTGATATAATTTTGAAAGTATAAGTTCTTAGTCAATGAAACTTTGACTATAGGGTTATCAAGTCTCCCCAATCATGTGAGTAGAATTTCAGGTCACTAAGTTAAGGTCAAAGGCCATTTAAGGTCAACAAACTTAGACTTCATTGTGGCATCAACATTAAGATTTTCAAAATGCTTCTTCTTCGTTATTTTTCAACCGATTTTGATTCTTATTGTTTCATATGATAGGGCTAGGAGGGATTTAAAATTTCTACACAGAGTCGTGAAATTCATTATCTATGCTAATTTATGCAAATTTATTCGAAATCACAAAAAAGGCTTCTTTTCCTTCATTTCTCGACCGATTTTGATTTGGTTTGCTTTATATCGTAGAGCTAACTTTGGTACACTAAACTTCTACACAGAATTTTGAAATTGTTCTCGATTAATTAATTATGGTAATTTATGCAAATTTATTCCAAAAATAACAAAACTTGCTTCTTTTCCCTCATTTCTTGACCGATTTTGCCTTATCTGGTAGAGCTTAATTTGGAACAATAAACTTCTACACAGAATTGTGAGATTTTGCTCCATTGATTATTTATGGTACTTTATGCAAATGAAATGAAATTATGTCCCTTCCAGGGCATCAAATTTCTATTTTTTGACCAGTTAAAAAGTGTACCACATAAAATTTACGATATTTGTTGTTGTGAGATGCGGATGAGCGCTACGTCATTGACGTTCTGGTTTATCATATTGAATTGCGTTATGCAGGCGAGACCGCCGAGAGCGTTTCCCTTGTTTCAAGTTTCAAGTTTATTTGTTCCACATTTTACAGAAAATATAGACATACATATAAAATTAAAAAATTATACTATATAATTTTAGTATAAATGAGCACAACTCAATGATTCTCAATTCTAGATTTAGTAGAATGTGAGAAACATATTTAAAAAAAAACAATGCTAGTATAATATAGGGATTCTTATAGATCTGCCATTCATTGTAATCTGTATACATGTACATGTTTTCAGCCCAAACAAACAATCAAGAGCAACTTTTTACTCATGATAATGGAATGCATTCAAATCAAGGTTTTTTCCTTGGTTTTTTTCCTTGGTTTTTTAGTGCTATTGAGCAAAAGGTTTGTGACCGGATGGTTTTCATGGTTGAAGGCACTGACCTAAATTCATGCATGGTATTTGTGCTGGTGCATTTAGTGATATTACATCTACAGTATAGCCTAGGTGTGTATTAATTAAATACAGTGTACATATATGTATGCCCTTGGTAAGTGGATAAATCTGTATTATTAGGTTACACGGATGTCGTTATTGATTGTTTATGGTGTTTAATTTGTTCATGTGTAAAAGTTAAATGTATTCTTTAGGCATTCATACATGTGGCTTTAGTTTCTAAGAATGTTTTAATTGCTACATGTAAACCGGATTTTGACATATATTCACTTGTGCACGTAGTGGATTATGTCGCAACTTATTTCGTACACAAGTTGTGAATTGCAAAATTCATTTTCCCAAAAGTTTTGTTTAAACGCATACAATGCATGTATTATATTGTGTACATACCATATTTATATATCCTCTACATACACATGTAGTGGATTATATGTTGAAAATTTGTTCATACATGTACACAATGTGAAATGCAAATGTACATGTATTTAGTATATTGTGTACATGTCATATATTTGACAATTGACAACCCATGGATCATAAAAATGAGTTAAATGGTTTAGTGGCAGAAACTGTGTACTGTAGTCTTGTACATATCTAGTTGACAACTAAATTATTCATACGCCTTGTAAATTTGAATTTTTTGTGTTTTGTAGCACGGGAATAAAAGGTGAACTGCTTGAATTAGGGCCTTGGTTATTAAAGTCACATTCTCATGAACTGTAAATCGGGACAAGTCAAGTTTTCATATACTTAGAAAATTACAAAACTGGGTTAGAGTATGACTAATTAAGATGTCAACTGTAATCATGTACATCAAATCAGTTGTGGTTTTAATTAATTTGATATTTATTTACTTGTTACTGTCTCCTGTTTTTGTCCTCAGAGAAACTGTGTTAAACCCAGAAAAATCCACCATGAGACAACGACGATCGCTGGAAAGAGAAAGGAAATACTCAGGAGTTGTTCAAGGTTGGTCTCGATATGTAACCCTTAGTCCTGAACAGTGGATTTAAACAAAGCTAATGCTTTTATGGGTCTCTTGTTTGCATGAACAATTATCTATTCAAACCCACAATTTGGCCCAAAATGAAATGAGAACATTCCACTAAAAGAGAGTGTACATGGAGGAGTACAAAAATATTTTGGTTGTAAAGATAAAATCTGACATCATTAAGTGCTTGTTATATTAGGTTTCCCCTAACCAAGTATACGGTAGTTAGCCCTGGTAATTTAATATTCTCAACTTTATACCTGTACCTAATCTCTTTGACTGATTCTCCTTTTCTAGTTGATCAATTTATCTTACAGTATTTAGAAATGTGGTAAGTTTTGATTCCTCAAGTAGACGTGGTCTTTTAAATCTCTTAATGAGAAACTAATAAATGTCTTTTTAATAGCTGTCTCTCTTACAGCAAATGAATGCAAAATGGTGATGTAAATAAAGTAGCAGTCAAATGCAACGATTTCAGTAGCTAATAACAGTTATTATAACTTGTTAGTGATTTAAAACAAGTTGTATGACAATCGGCCCAGATCATACTCTAAATAAGAAGCTAATGTGTCTAAAAAGAAACTTGTCATTCAATATCTTTCATACAGCAAGCAATGGTGAAATGGTAGACCTGACTACAGCAGAGATCGATGCATCCTCAATAACACCATCAGACCATGCCCTCAACGAGAAACTACTCTCCGAGTCAAGGAAGGTCACTGAGAAGTTTGAGAACAGGAGAGGGAGACGTTTCTCTCCTGCGAAGAATGAAGGTAAATATATGCTGTGTTTTAAAGCCCGTCTGCACTAGTTTTGCCAGTAGGGGTTAGACCTCCCTGAAAGGTCTCTGTTTGAGAACAGGAGAGGGAGACGGTTCTCTCCTGCAAAGAATGAAGGTAAATGTATGCTGTGTTTTAAAGCCCGTCTGCACTAGTTTTGCCAGTAGGGGTTAGACCTCCCTGCAAGGTCTCTGTTTGAGAACAGGAGAGGGAGACGGTTCTCTCCTGCAAAGAATGAAGGTAAATGTATGCTGCGTTTTAAAGCCCGTCTGCACTAGTTGGCCAAGAGGGATTAGACCTCCCTGCATGGTCACTTACAGCTGGTTATCTCATCAAATAAGCTTCTAATTAACATAAGAAAAAGGGGATCAGTGGGACCAATGGTCACCGATTAGACATTGTTTGCTTTATAGAGGGCGCAAGTAGCTTCAAGTAGTGCAGTCCCGCTTTAAAGAATGGTGTGCATCAAAGTTCTTTACAGTATTCTACTATTCTATAAGACAAATAAATAATTATGCTTAGGCAGTTCTATTGTGCCTGACAACCTTCTTCAAGCCATTTGCTGCACATTTAAATGCATAATGAATTTGTTATTTCGAAACGCCCGTGATGGGAAGATTGTGTGGTGGGAAACTGTTCGAAAGAAAGAACACAAGGGAGCTCATGAAAAGGTTGGGTCTGGAAGAAACTGGTGGAAGTGATAAAGAGATGTGGATTGAGATTGAAGGGTCATGTATTGAGAAGTGAAGATGATGAACCTGTGAAAAGAGCATGGGATCTGGAAGTGGATGGCATAAGAAGGAAAGGAAGACAACAAAAAAGTTTCTTAGATAGATACCTGGTAGGATGCGAAAGCTTATGTGCTTAGATTAGCAAGTGTGCGCTTGTAAAAATGACGCCTGGCTGGAATGCTCCCCAGGGAGTGGATACTGTACATTCATTGTGTGCGGGTAAGCCTGAATCCGAACAGTATGAATACTGATGAGGCTACCCTGGGTAAACAAGACATATTATTATTATTATTATTATTATTATTATAATACAATGAATTACATATACTTTGTTAATTTCACATTTTGTTTTGGTTTCTTCAGCTGATGACGTAGTATCCGATGATACTAGCCCAGACTCTTCCCCAGAACCTATGAAGGGTGATATGAGTCCTTGTCTGATCACTCAAGAAGAGAGGGTAGGAGCAGAGGTAAGTCTATCAAGTCTATCAAGCGTCTTAAAACATTTCTTTTCAAAAATACTTTCCAATGTTAACGAGAGAAAGTATGTTGAGCATATCTCACTCTTTTTATGTTTCTCTATCCACTTTTCCTTCTTACCCTTTCTTACAGCGCATCAAGACATATTGTGATATGTGCTGTATTATATAAGTACGGTATATTATTATTATTATTATTATTATTTTATCATGTTCTTGAGCAAGGCATTTTATCTACTTTGCCTCTCTCCACCCGGGTGTAAATTGGGTACCCGCTAGGATGTGAACGCCTTTATGGTTGTGGATCAGCATGTGCACGCTCGTAAAAAGGCGACTAGCTGGAATGCTCCCCAGAGAGTGCAGGATAGTAATTGAATCCAGTGGCAGGGGTAGTAATAATACTGTTCCAAAATGGTAAAGTGCTTTATATATAACCGGTATTATGATTATTTATTTTGCTGGAGGGGTAATAGAATGTGGTTACTTCATTTTTTGGTCATTTTGTTTTTCATAAGTCTCTATCTGAGAACACGTTTTACGTTCCGATAAATCACTCAAGAGGAGAGAGTAGAAGTTAAGGTACACTTTCAAGCGTCAGGTTTGTTTTAGTGTTGGGGTGGTATTGAAGACCGTGGAAATCATAGCCATTTATACACAGAGTTTTGCCAACTTGGTTTCAGTATGTCACAACATGGCATATATTCTTTTGTTTGCGCTTGCCCAAGGTAGAGGTGTAGAAGTCAAGGGATACTTCAACGGACTGTGGATCACATGGTTTACTGTTTGAATCCCGCCGCGGCACTTATGTACTTTTGCAAGACATTAACCTACATTTGTCATTCTCTACCTAGGTGATTTAAATGGGTACCTGGTAGGAAGAAATTCCTTGAATGCCAGTGCTTTATACTTATCGAAATATTAATATTAAGAGATATACATGTATATTTAAATGATATTTTTGTTATTATTATGTTTGTTTTTTATAGGGTGATTCTGATCCTGAAGAAGAGAATGCAAAGAGTAGGAAAGTTTCAGATGAATTTGACATCAAGGCTGATCTTATGAAAGCTATAGGACCTATAAAAACAGATTCTACTCCTAAATCAGCTTTGTCAAGCTCAAAAATTAGACAGGTATGTTTCCTCAATCTTAAACTGTTTAACAATCGCCTCTGCAAAACTGAATAGTTTTAATGAATAGCAATAGATACTTATGTGGTTTTATAAATGTGTATGGTAATGGCCCTTGATTTTTACTTCCTTATCTTTTTGTTTGCTTTTTGCCTAATGGGCCTTAATGGTGCCCCAGGCTTACATCTCATTCAAATACAATATCATGAGACAAGTTATCAATTAGGTATATTTTCCCCCTTGATAAAACAGCTACCTGTATATATACAGTATCACCTTTTACATCTAGGGTGTGATGATGAAAACAATATTTTTATGTTATCAAACAATATTAATAGTCATAACAAATCAAAATTAGGACAAGTCTTTGATTAATGTCGGTGCAAAAATCGCTGGCTTCGCGAAAAGTTAAAAGACATATGCGCAAGCACCAACAGTGAGTGTAAGCTCCATGCAATTTGAGTTACATGTAGTCATGAAAATGAACATTGTTTTTCCTGTTTTAGAATGTTACCCTTGACTGTTCTTTGTATTCTTCCTATGCCATACAGGAAAAGAAAGCCAAGCGACCCGTGTTCAAACTACACTCCCCTATGCCCGAACTCTCAGAGGAAACCTGTGAAGACTCCTGCAGTCTACCCAACGGCACCCTCGAGACCCTGGAGACCGTCCTGGAGTCAAACACAGATACGTGCAAAGCGGAGGTACCGACGCAGTGCTCGGTCAAACAGGAAGGGGAGGTCAAGTGGGACGCAGGAGAGGGTGAGACCAAGCAGAGGAAGAGCTCTATTCTGCCAGAGACGTTACTCAAAGCGCTCGGTCTGAAGAAGGGAGAAGGAGAGTAAGTGTGCCAACTAAAGATATTTTAGATATATTTAGATATTTATTTTTTTCGTCCACAATGTGGAAATATGCTTCCCACCAGCATTACTATAATACAAGAAACAAAGTACAACAGGCCTTAAATTAATCGACGGCCATCGACGGCCAGGCCGTCGATGCCCCTATGACTGGCCGCGGTGCCCTCCCAAAAAAAAGATAAATTCACGGCCAAAAAGGCCGTGCCCTTTTTTTCAAACTGGCCGACGTGCCTTTTTTTCCAACTGGACGTGCCCTTTTTTTTTTAAATTCGCGCACATAAAACCACCAATTGCGCCCATAATCATCTAAAACTAGACGGCAAGGCGCAAGTGTTTTCCGTGAAAATGCGCCCATAAATTATTAGAACAGTAAAAATACACGAATCACGAACAGTCTGCTGCCCACGAGCTCTCTTCTAGCTTCGTATTTAGTGCTTTAATAAGGCGCAAGTGCCGTGAAAATGCGCCCTTTGTTATTATATAGGCAATGCGCTAGCGCACGTACGTACGTCATGCGATCGCATGTTATGCATATGGTGCATGCTGTTGACGCACGCACGTACGTACAAATCGAAGGATCAAGAAAACAAATCGTCAAATGGAGAAATAAACAAGCAATAAAATAGTCATTAGAGAATCTGTCGAGGTTTGTTTGTAGGTCTAGTTTATTATTTTATTTCAAATAGAATTTAGAATTATCTTACTAATAAGTTAAGAACACCTACGATGTTCTCGATCGTAGTTACTCTCATTTTGCCACCAGCCGACCTCGCTTCAAAAAGCTACCCCGCCAGCTTCCCAAGACGAACGTTTCGAGTCCCGGTAAAATTACGCGCTGCGAATCTCCGAGGGTGCATCGGTTTCGCTGGCAAACTTCCAGCCCGACAGCTTCCCACCAAAAGTGGCGAGAGTGTGTGTGCGAGGAACGATTTTGGTTTCGTGAATGCACGTTACGCAACTGAGCTGAGCGTGTCACTTTCAGCTGTCGAATGTCTATAAGGACATTTTTACATCTTATTTCATTAGTTAGGCCTATCTAGACCTTTCTATACAACAGTTAAAAAGATAATTTCTTCAAATTTGCTCCTACTACCGAGAGAGTGGCGGAAGGTTTGTGTGTGAGGTGCGATTTTGATTTGGGATACCCAGCCCGGTAAACTTGCCAAGTCCTTCTGACTTTCGATGTTTGTGAAATTGACAATTTATTTATTCATTTGCTCATCAATATTTTTAGTTACTTTAAAATACTGTTTAATGTCCAAGTTTGATGTTCTTAATCAATCTTTCCTGTTCATATTGTTAAGATTAAAAAGTTATTAAATTGATCGTTCGATCTATTCACATTATGAAATTAACATTTGTACTTGTAGACTCTCTTTGAACTTATGATTAGCTAAGGGGCCTATCTGTTTTTGGAAAATTGCCCCTTGCTCTGGTAAATTCCCGTGGCAAAGGGCAACCTAAAAAAAAATTGCCCCTTGCTCCTGGCTGCTAAATCTAAGGCTTGCGGGCCGCCGCCTTGTTTGTATGTACCGTAGTCGTAGACCTCTATACATTCTGTGAAGAAGCTGGTGCTAAAAGTCATGGGAAATTGATCCCGCACAAGTTTCATAAAATACACATGACATCTAACAAAAATAGAATCAATTTTTTTGGCCTCATACTCGATGCCCTTTTTGTAAAATATTTTGGCCTCGATGCCCTTTTTGTAAAAATATTTTGGCCTTGGTGCCCTTAAAAATATGAGGTACTCAAGGCCAAACTGGCCTTGCCCTAAAAATGACGAAATTTAAGGCCTGGTACAATGATATGAAACATGCAAAACAATTAAGCAAACAATTTCAAAACAGAAAAAGTCTTGTCCTTTTACAGAAATAATTTTTACGACATCCAAAATTGTTGAACTTCTTTTCTGATCAGATAATTAAAGATATCTCTCGACTGCTTTTAACAGACTTTGTTTTATAAATACTTGATGTGGTAAACTGCCCCTATCCCCTCCTCCCCCACAAATGAGTAAATGAAAGGGAGATGGAGAAAAGTAGCCAAGCATACCGAAGGCCCCCTAAATGAAGTTGCATGTATTAATCTGAATGGTATAATAATAATAATAATTACAGTGCTTATATAGCGCCTAACACTTACTTTGTCAGAAGTCTCTAAGCGCTCTACAATAATGCAGCATAATTATAAGATATATATCCCAAGTACTCTACCTGTTCATTTACATCATGTTATTTGGGTACACTACACTGGTGTTTTAATGCGGTCTACCTGATCATGTGTGATTGAGGCTTATGTCCTACTGAAATTAAAGTTGTAGTGAATAGTACCTTGAATTCAGCAATATTCAAAGTTGCATTGTAGATGTGTCATGATCTAGTTGAACAATTAGTGGACTGAAGATCACAAGGCATGTTTCAACAGTCAAGGTGCGTTCAGCTACGACAAGGCAAAAACAATGGTAGTTTTTTAATAGTGACGTAAATGTAATAGGCTTCACATTTCTGTATCTTATATTACAGAGCCCAGTGAATATGCACAGGCCCTTTGTTGCACACAGTTGCTATTTATTTACATGGATTTTTTGTGGCTGTTAACTGTGTCATATCTGAACGAGCCCAAGGCCATATTAACAGAGAAGGATGTACATACAGCTCATTAACGTTTTAACATCATTGCGTTTCTTTCCACAGTAAAAAGACAGTGTTAACCAAGAAAGAAGTAGGAGAGAAATGCAACTCATTAACCTTTTGTCATCATTGCGTTTCTCTCCACAGTAAAACGGCAGTGTTAACAGGGCTAGAAGTAGGAGAGAAATACAACTCCTTAGTGTTTTTTCATCATTGTGTTTTTTTCCACATTAAAACGGCAGTGTTAACAGAGGTAGAGGTATGAGAGAAGTACTACTCATTAACGTTTTGTCATCATTGCGTTTGTTTCCACAGTAAAACTGCAGTGTTAACAGAGCTAGAGGTATGAGAGAAGTACTACTCATTAACGTTTTGTCATCATTGCGTTTGTTTCCACAGTAAAACGGCAGTGTTAACAGAGCTAGAGGTATGAGAGAAGTACTACTCATTAACGTTTTGTCATCATTGCGTTTGTTTCCACAGTAAAACTGCAGTGTTAACAGAGCTAGAGGTATGAGAGAAGTACTACTCATTAACGTTTTGTCATCATTGCGTTTGTTTCCACAGTAAAACGGCAGTGTTAACCGATCAAGAGGTAGAAGAGAAGTACAGCGCTTTAACGTTTGCTTTCAAGACTGATCGTCTCACTCTAGAGCAGAGATACAAGATACAGCAACATCAGAGGAATCTTATAGAGAACAATCTCAAAGAAGAGATAAGGGATCACGCTGCGGTTGTTCGGGTAAAACGCTCTTCATTTATTCATTTTATATCAAGACATAATCGTTTTATCCTGTACTTGAATCAAAGTTGTCCCCAGATTGAAAAACAATATCACAATATTTTGCTGTCGTGATCACGATAGCAAATATATATTTCATTGAAACATTCATGGTTTGGGAATTATTTAGGGGTTGGTTCTTTTTGCCGATACAAGTTTTCCCCTTTTTTTTGCCTAATTGCCTTTTCATAGGGGGTCTGGATTAGAATTTGAGGCTCTGTATGTATATGCCGCTGTTCACATTTTAAATATGGGTGTCGAGAATCCCACGTGCACTGGGGTCATCTTAGGATCAAGCCATGGGTTTAGTGGGCTAAAACAAAATATGTGATGTAGGAAATTGGTGACAAGAGCCATACCCAAACTCTTGAGTAAAATGTAATGTTTTTATTGTTGTTTATGATATATTATTGTCTCTGGAACAAAATGAAACCAAATATGTGATGTAGGGAAAGAGTGACCAGAGCCATACCCAAACTCCTGAATGAAATATAATGTTTTGTTTATTTTATTTTGTTTATGTTTTTATTGTTGTTTATGATGTAGTCTCTGGAACAAAGATGTGCAGAGGATGAGATCGCCAGAACAGACATTAACAAACTAAAGCAACATATCGACGTGATTCAGTATCTCTTGGTCAAACTTGCCAGCAAGGCGGAGGGATTCGGTGCAGTACAACAGGTCTGTATTCAAATCATGCACCTCTCAACATGTAAAGTGTACCAATCACATAAAATTATTAATTTTGTATGTGAATAGTTCCAAGTCATGATCATCATCAACTTCAGGTGGCGCTGTAAAGCGCTGCTGTGGCCTTCACGAGAGCACGCCATGCAACTCTTTCACCTGCCATTTGTTTTGCACCTTTCATTCCTTGTCCAGTCTTGATATCATCAGTCCAAGATATTGGTGGACGACCTCTACCCCGTTTTCCTTCGACTGCTCCTTGCAGTATTTGCTTCTCAATACCTTCAGGTCTCCTAAATGTGCCTAAAATAGTTCAGTTTTCTTTCCATGATTCCCCTACTGATGGTCAAGTCTGTTCCAATCTTTTCCTGGACCCACACGTTTGTCATTTTATCTTTCCATGACACCTGCAATAGCCTCCTGTAGCACCACATTTCAAAGGCATCAACTCATCAAGTCATGATACTTTAGTTTAAATATGAGCTTTGAATATTACTTCTGTAAAGAAATTTTGCAAGTTTGAATGCGCTCTGAATTAACATAAAAGCGGCTTGTGAACGATGCACTTGTACGCGCTCGCACGAAATAGGGCCTGCATGAAACCTAAGTCAGATTTGTGATCTATTTTCTTCATACTCCTCGATATCCTTTAGCTGAAAAAAGCCTGGTGAAGTTTTTTCAAGATGGATTTTATACATCCTAGCTGTACATGAATTACATTAAAGGTGTATGGTCACTTTAAATATTTTTATTATTATTTTAAGTTTTATGCTGATAGTGATCATTCATCATTGTGAATATCTTCAACCGTCATCAAATTCATTTTCTTTATTACAATTGTCATCATCATATTCTTCTTCTTCTCATTCATCATCATCATCTTCGTTATTGTCATCATCATCATCAATGTATTCATGATGATCATCAACATGGTCATCAAAATCCTCATCTTAAACTTTATTTTCACCATCTTCTTCTCCTTCATCATCATTTTCATCATCATCATTGTATTCATGATGATCATCAACATTTATACCGGTGTGTTGGCTCAGTCAGTAGAGCTTCCGCAACCCAGAGGTCGTGGGTTCATACCAAAAGACGTTAAAAGACGGTAGTTGCTGCTACCTTGTTTGGCGTTCAACTTATTGGGATAGAGCAACGTCGATCTGGCGCTGCTCAGTGGCTGCCGGGCTCACGATCAATTGGGTTTCACTTTATAAAATTTGGAGTGGACTTTAAAAAAAAATAATTAAAAGATTATTATTATTATATGTCCATTATTTGTGAACATGGGCATCAAAATCCTCATCTTAATTTTTTTTCACCATCTTCTTCTCCTTCATCATCATCTTCATTATTGCCATCATCCTCACAGTCATCATTATAGTCCTTCGGAAATCACAGGGACCTAAATGCAAGTAGAGTATCTCAAAGAAGTTTGTTATTACTACCATCATCATCAGTATTAACTTGATTTTGTTTATGTTTGTGGCTGATATAGGAGGATAGATTGAGCAGAGCTTCTGACGTCATGGTGACCCATGTCGAGAATATCAAGAGAAGTCTGGAGAACGAAAAAAAAGAGCTCTCAGAAGCAAAGTAAGTAATAACCTCTAAAAACTATATCGATAGATAGGAGAACAAAAAAGGAAATGGCATTTAGCTTCAGAAAATTATGAGGGTTCAATCTTAACACTATTTTTCTACTTAGGCACAGGTCTTATCTCTAATAGTTTGGACAAAGAACAGCTTGTCTTTGTGTTTAAAGAGGAACCATGGAAAAAGAATATCCAGTCCAGTCCAATCCAATCCAATCCAGGAATTTGTAGAGCGTCAAAATCTAGTTGTCTAATCGGAGGCACAAATAATAATAATAATAATAATAATGAACGTTATTTGTATAGCGCATATCACTAACACAAAGAAGGTCCTTTGGCACCATGATTCACTAACTGGGTTAGTGGCTAGTTGTACTGTACTCTACTGTATTAAAACCACAGCATCTGTATGTATTAAACTTAATTATACTTCATAGATTTCAAAAGTAGTTGAGATACGCACCATTTTCATGCCTCACTTATAACAATATGTTTGAAATGTGCAATTCCTTGCTGCAAAAATGGCTGTCATCATTGACCGTTCACAAGTATCTCTGGTTTTACAGCACTTTGCACACTTGCCTGTTAAGATTCTACATGTATGTACATGTATGTATGTAAACCATTTTGGTGCTGTAAGTGTGTCTCATCATTGCATTATTTTAATAGCTACCTTTATACAAAGTGATTTATTATTGTTTTGTATTTATTTTGTCATTAACTAGGAGAGTTTTACATGAAAACAAGATCTTACTAAGAGGCAATACTATGACTGGTGATGGTAAGTATACCTTGGGTTTGATGCGGTGAAATAAAATCTTGCTTTGCTGCAGGGTTATAATAATACAAATGATAACAATACTGTGTTTGGTTTATTCAGGGTAGCATCATCAATATTGATGCTGTTCTCCCTGAGGGCCCTGCAACCATATTATTACCTAGGCTTTAGCCGAGCTACCATGATAAGGTGCTGGTTTTTATTCTTAAATCACACATTTACATATATGTTCAGTGCAAGTGCAGGGAATTCCTCTAAAGCCCATCTGCACTAGTTTGGCCAAGGGGGATTTTCTCATTGAGTCATTTCTCAATTAACATAAGAAAAAGAGGATCATGGGGGACCAACAGGCACCGATTAGGCATTGTTTGATATATAGAGGGCACAAGTAGCTATAAGTAGTGCAGAAGTATCACCTTTAATGTTGTTTCTTTTTTCAGACTCTGATTCTGGAGGGAGATTACGACGAGCATCAACTCTAACCAATCCGGCTATGAAGGTAAGAAAAGACAATTCTGTTTGACTTGGGTTTCAGAGAACATTACCTTTATTAGTTAGCATTTGATAATAAACATGTACTAAACTCTGTGTGACTGGGTATATAGAGAGAGAATAGTTCTTGATTTGAATTGATTAACATTATTAAACTAATAATGTTTGGTGCTTATGAGAATTAACCATGCATACATAACAGCCTTACTTCACTCTGTATCGAACTGGTTTTGATAAATGCACCGTTGAAGTGATTTTTGTTTAAAATTGTGCAGAGCAGAGCTGTGCTATGAGTTTACTAACAAATCTTAATCACAGTCGTGTTTATATTCAGGAGATTAGGCCCCAGTCTTCTAATTGATCACAGCTTGATATCAATCAGGGCAGGGTTTCACGAAACCGTCTCAAGTACAAGTTGGCTGACAACCCGTTGAAAAGTGAATGAAATTTAACACAAGTTCAAATAGGATGTTGTGGAACTTGTACTTATGATTGTTTCGTGAAACCATGCCCAGTCCTATAAAAAGAGATGGGTGTTTGTAAGTTTGTGATTGATTAGAGGACTGGGGATCAATCTGAATCATTTGTAAGTCTTTAGAAGACAGGGTCCTGGGGGGTGTTTCACAAAGATCCTAAGTTAAACCTAACTCTAAGTTGGACTTTAACATTATGGACAGCCATTTTTAGCCTTAAAATGAAATACATTCAAAAACAAAAATACACTGAAGTATTTAAAACTTTTCATAAATTCCACATCAAGAACATGAAATCTCCTTGATAATAGAAAATATGAAAGATTTAAATCAACATTTAATGCCTTTTAAAATAAGTTTTACAAAACACTTTCTAAGATGCTAAATGGCTTTCCATAATTGTTAACTCCAACTTAGAGATAAGTTCTACTTAGGATCTTTGTGAAACACCCCCCCCCCCCTGGTTGTATTTTTTTGCTTCAAATATATATTTATGGATTATTGGTGCTCCAACGTCTGCATTTTATACCTTTAAACCTTGATATTTGTTTTGGTGTCTTCAACATTTCTTTGTTTCTAAAGAGACCCTCGGGAGACCAAGTATGTATTTCATTCTGCATGGGGCAGTTTTTAATTTATCATGACCAAGAATTGCAATACATCCAAGTATAATGCTATTCTCAGCATGCATTTATGCCAGGTAGTGGGAAAACAAAGTCACTCTTCTTTTCAATGCTATTCCAAACCTGCCAAGTGTCTCGCTTTTTGCGGGACATCCCGCATTTTGCAATTTCTGTTAAAAATATTTAAAAAACATTAAAGAAGAAACCAAGTACCAAGTATCACTATCAATATAATCATCAACATCACTATCATCATAATCATCATCATCACTATCATCATAATGATTCCGTAAGGGTGAAAGCAGTGATATTCTCTCTCCTTTTGAGGTTCTCAGATGAGGATATAATATTAGGCATACACTGTATGACAATAGACTTGACATTTTTTTTTCATCCTTGAGTGGGCTTTATATACAGGTTTCAATGTAAAAATCTGAGACACTTTAGCCGTTAGTTAAATTACATTCAAGATTATGACTATAACATGGATAGAAAAGATGATAAATGAAGATGTGTTCAGATAAGGAATAGTCAATCCACAATCAGAATATGGAGAGAAATTAAGGACCATGAGCGCCCATGTCTGTGACAGACCTGGCATTTAATGATGCTGACATGACTCCCAATTCCTTATAATGATTGATATACCTGTACATGTTTATGTTTATGTTATTATGTTCAATAAGAGCTGCATTTATAGTCAGTCACCCTTTTTACTTTTGTCTATAAGAATTAAGAGTAGTTACAGGTACGAAATAACAATATTTTAAGATCAGGTTAGTTTGGGTATTATATACATGTATAACGGTACACTAAAAGACGGTACTTGGGATCCCTCACTTTTCATTTATTGGCCAGTTCAAGGTATTTGATCTTAATTCATTTTATTATCATTTTCTTTGTGTCCCCTATGTTAATACAAAGTGCTGTAGAATAAAACAAACATGTTTCAAGATTGAGGTATCACAGCCTGTCCCGACTGCTGGAAAGTTATACCAGACTACTGGTATTATAAAGAAACGTATAAAGAATCTTTGTATACCGGTAGTTTTGACAATTAGTTTTGAGTATCAAATTTGAATTGATCTTTTTTATTTAGCAATATATCCATACATGTTCGTATATTACTGTATACTCATCTCCCATCCATCCATTATGACCATTGTTATTAACCTGACTTAGGCCATGTTCATTAAAACTTGTTATCAATAAAAAAAAAAATGCCTAAATGAATTCCTACAACAAATTTGCTTTCAGCCAATCAAATGCCACTATTTCACTAGCTTATAACAGTTCTTGTAATTATCATTGATAACAAGTCTTCTGAAACAGGGACCTGATCTTCATTTAATATCACTTTTATTGGTATGTTCAGAGAGGTAATTTCATATTGCCCACTGCCACTGCTTACCATACAATGATCCTGCCACCAAATTTATGTTAAAAATAGGAAAATATATATATTATAATAATTTGGGCTGTTTGAGGCCGATCTGAGGTCATTATGATCTGCTGCCTGTTCGGTATTCTCTCAAAATGTTGCTATGCATCTGATTATTTGAAAAAAATAGACCCCCTTTGAATAACGCTTTCCATTGATTGTAAAAACTTTACCATCAATATTTTAAAGTACAATTGGCAACATCAGTCAACAGCAACTCAAATCAAGGTTTACCATGGGAGTTACCATCAATGGTAATTTCTTTTTACGGGGGCCCAAAGACCAACTTTTAACAATATCTGTATGGCCTTTTTTCCTGAAATTTGGCCAATGTCGGATCGTTAGGTGTGCAGTAGCCTTGTAGTAGCTGTGGGTATCATGATAATTTGGGATTTGCATGCTGGAAGATACCATGGTTAACATTTATATCATTCATCTCCTTGATTTGGGGGTTTTATTCATTCTACTTTTATATTGATTCTCCTTTTTTCCTCTTTCTTTTTAATTTAAATTTAATTTTTATTTATTAAGGATGATTTGAAATCAATTTTTTTATTTTAGGTTATATATGTCTGCATATGAATATCCACATATGGATATACACAATTTTGATAATTGTACATGTATCTTAAAGCTTGAAAGCAAAATATGGATTTACATTTGAACGATGTTGAACATTGTAGTTTCACAGTTTATTTTAAAAAAAATGTTAAGACCATGTATTGACAAGTATGCCAGCTACATGAATATGTTATGCATGCTATGTGTGGCATGGTGCTTTACATTTGTAATAATATTCATCCAAGCATGGCCAGAGATTTATTCTTAATCTAATCGTAAATGCTCATGTTGGTTGATTTTATAACTGCCCCCTTTTCTTTATCTGTACTGTACACGTACATGTGTATCTGCATGTATTCCCACTTTAATGTTATATTTTCCTTTTATGTTCACCCGTCGTTTCCACCCCCTTTCCCTTCTCTCTCCTTCTCTCTCTCTCTCTCTCTCTCTCCCTTTCTCTTTCTCTCTCTCTTTCTCTTTCTCTCTCTCTCTTTCTCTCTCTCTCTCTCACAACCATCTATCTCTCTATCTTTACCCTACGTCCTATATCTATCTGTAGCTCCTTGTCCCATCCCCCCCCCCCCTCCTCTCCTTTTCTCTTTCTCTCTCCAATGCTCTCAAGTTGTTATCTTTCCCCTTCTTTCCCTTTTTGGAATAACTTAACCATACCCTCTCTTTCTGTCCATTAATAGTTTTCTTCTCTCTCTCTCTCTCCATTGCTCTTGAGTTGCTATCTTTCCCCTTAATTCTTTCCTTTTTAAAAACTTTTACTTACTGCATTTCTGTCTAAACTATCGGTACTCTCACTTTCCCCCTCCTACCTGCTCTTATTTGTATTTGCTAATATCTATTTCACTCTCCTTTTCTCTCTCACTCCATCTGTGGTCTATTTTCACACAATCCTTGTCACTCCATCTTTCTCTTTTTTATATCCTTTTTTTTTCCTACTCCTTATCTTGATTCAGTATTTACCCATTCCATTACTGTACCTTCACTATTTAAAATCTGACCTCATGCCTTCTGAACTCTGACCTCTGCTTTAGTATGATCAATCAACATGTAGTTTTATTTATTTATTTTCACTCCTTCTTTCTCTTTGTTATATCCTTTTTATTCCTACTCCTCATCTTGATTCAGTAATTGCCCATTCCATTTCCTCCACTATTTAAACTCTGACCTCATGACCTCTGAACTCTGACCTCTGACCTCTTCTTTAGTATGATCAATCAACATGTAGTTTTATTTATTTATTTGTTATCATCCCATGACTTGTCATAACATGTTTGTCCATCACCTCCCCGTTCGTTTGTCAGCATTCCTTGCATGGCATCGTGCGTCAAAAGCTCATGCGAAAGAATTCTTCAGACCTCAACGACCCTGACGAGGTAGGCTAATTTACATACTAAGGTCATAGGTCACCACAGAACCTGCACAAAGTCACTAGATATCATCTCTCCCCGGCTCGCATGCCCATTCTTGTGCAAGCTTATGCTCTACAATTAAACTTGTTTAACATGCTTGTTAAATCTATGAGTGGTATTCTCGTAAATCGGACTAACTTTAGTCCATGGTTTAATCCACCGACTAAGTATGGAATGCCAAGTGTCCATATGCATATGTTTTTGAATAATATAATCTGTCACTAATTTAAAATGAAATGTAATAACATAATTGATAATAACAACAATATAACTATGATATAATTATGTTATCATGGTAATTTAGGGACATATCAAATTATTAAAAAAATATATTCATATGGACACTTGGCATTCCATAGTTAGTGGGTGGATTACACCATGGACTAAAGTTAGTTCACTTTCGAGAATACCACCCAATATCCTTGAACCCGATGTAAATCTTAGATGGTGAGAATGCTTGTACAGGGTGGCCCAGAAAGAACGCAACACTGGAGATCTACAGTTTCAAAGACATCGTAGACATCATGACAATGGTTTTTGTTTTGTGGGATTGGAGAAGAAAAATACAAGTAAAATGACACCAAGATCACAAATCTATGCGTACATGCTTCCCATATGATCAACAGTGAACTGAGGGAGGGGGAGGGGGGCAAGGAGCTACAGATAGTTATAGGACATAGGGTAATGAGATAGAGATAGATGGGAGAGAGAGAGAGAGAGAGAGAGAGGGGGGGGGGGGGGGTGTGTGCAATGAATGCATGACTGCTAACGTCAACACACATTAACAAAGTTGATTTCTCACTGCTTCAAGCATGATTATGATCGCAAAAGTAGCAAATTTTGAAAAAAACATTGCCTCAGAAAAATCGCTGAAGAATCCATATACCTTACCAAAAATTGGTGAACTTGGTCTCATTTTACTTGGAGCTGGATTGTCTACCCCATATTAAAAGATATAAACCAATGACAATTTGTCAATGATGTCAGTGAAATTGCAGTTGTTTTTTTTTTTTTTTGGGGGGGGGGGCTACCTGTATAGGAGGAAACCTGAGCAGTCAAGCATGTACCCAAGCGCATGATTGTTCCGTCACAATGACAGTGCAAGCTCTCTTGATGAATGAACAAGAAACTAAACTCAATTTTATTTTGTGAAGAAAAAAATAATGCTATAAAATTAATGCTAAATGATTAAAGGTATTGCTATCAAAAATTTCAGTTCATAAATCCATCAAAAATCGGCAGGAACCCTAACATTCATGGTTTCTATCACCAGATGCCATTTTTACCACTTCTACAGTGACTTGAAACTGTGACTTTATGCAGGTTTTGTGGTGGTACATGTATGTCATACTTTTAAATCACATTTTGTTTACAGTACAGGCCAAGAAAGTAATGTTCCACACAATGTTACTCAGTATGTTTTATTGGGTAGAAGTTGATGATACATGTATTTATTGAAAAAAAGAAATGATAATAATAGACCGATATAATTGTATGTTATAGATGATAAAATGTTAAGATAATTCATTAAGAAACATACTGACCTAGATATATTTCTTAGAACACAGGTGAGTTTATAAATTTTGTTTATCCCCAATGATTACAGAATAAAGTGTACTCAAAATTATAAAACAAGGAGATGTGTTTATTCTCTCATTCCAAGAATTTGATAAAAAATATGTGTATCTTTGTTTAAAGAAATGATTTATTCATTAGATCAGTTACAAATATTTAAAGCGTCTTTACATAGTTATCGCTTCAACATCCTTTTAGAATTTTAGTATCATCATACCAATCTTCACGATATAATATTATTATACATCCGCTGCTAATTCACACTCCCTTTGCAACATCCCATTTAGATCAGTTCTTATTTTCATGTTCAACTTGTCTGTTTAAAGTGGATTTATTCGAATAGGATTTATCTCCTTTTTAAAAAAATTTGGAATATTTATTTATCTCCTTTTTTAGGTTTGACTTGGTTATCACATCTTTTGCTTTTACATTTTATAGTTCGGGATTATTAAGTGCAAAATAAAGAAAATAAGATTTTAAAAAAAATTTATTTATTCAAATGTTGCTACAGTAAGTTTCTGTTGCAAATGTATTTAATGTACATTTTCAAAAGGAATATATTATCATGCTAAACATTTAATCTCCATTGCTCTTATATTGAATCTGCCATTCCTGTTCCGGAAATAATTATGTTATCATGTTCATGTAATTCCTATTATGGAGGAATGCTTCCTAATATAGGACCCGTTTCACAAAGCCTTTTTTCAATGACAAATGACAAAATCAATGACAAATCTGCTGATACACAATCAGAAGCAAGGATTTCAGTAGCTTACAGTGTATAACAAAAAACTGTCATTTGTCACTAGTGACAAGTTTTGTGAAACGCCCCCCTGGTCTTCAAATTTATGTTATGACCCCCGGCGGGATTCCTCTCTTTTTCACGAAATTCCTGTCCAAAAAGTTAACAAAAAAAACCTAATTTTGCCACGAGAGATTCCTAAATTCTGCTGTGAAAGGTAGGTGGGTATGAATCTACAGAAATTTTGAAACAACGGAGTTTGTTGTTCCTTTATATACGTAGGAATGTTTTAATTAAACATTATATAACAAGAATGTAATGTACAATATTTTGATTGTGTTGATGCAAGCGTTGATTGCTGTAGATTACTTTGTTTGCAATGTTTTAAGCATTTTGTTCTAAAGAGATGTTAGTTGGAACTATTAATGAAAATAGACTTTAAAACTTCACTAAAATGCTGTTGTTTTAGTAGTGAGTGAGTGAAATTCTTTTGACATGTGAGTACTTGCAGTGCTAACAGAGTGGTTTCCCTTTGTAGATTAAAAATGCTTTAAACGCTTTTCAATGCAATAGTGAAACAACCAAAGCTTGTATGTATCCATTAAATTTGGAATGTTCATGAAAATGAAATGCAGGCTGCACAGAATAAAAGCTCATTAGAAAAATAAATCTCTTTGCTTTATAAGCAAAGTATATAGTCTCTTATTTGTATTGCTAAATTTAAATATTGATGTAGCCAATATTTCTCTGGTGAGCCATATATAATGGTAATGCATATTTTCCAGCCACAATTTCTGATTTCTGAATTTAAAAAAAAAAGGGGGGGGGGGTGGATATCTTTGGTACACACTTTATCAGCTAACAAGGGGGATACAAATGTACATTTCATTGAATTTATTTGTAAAAAGTCAATTTTTTAATTCCATCCCTTTTTGAGTATTGAATAAGAAGTGTTCAATCTATTCAGCTGAAGAGTGTATTAAAGAAATGTGAAGAAACAGATAAAATCCTGAGACGCCTAAACATGTAGGAGCCCCCCCCCCCCCTCCCCATCCTGATTCTTCCAATAAAGATTATTAAAATAAAAGTGATTAAAAGTGGATTGCACGCAATGTATTTTTTTTATAAAAGTGGTCACCCCCCCCCCCCCCCCTTTCTCCTCTATTCCCTGTACTCTATACAAATCCCTGATTTGTGTATTACAGTTTGTAAAACTAATAATTTTCAGCTATTTTGACAGTTTTTTTCTCTCTCTCTCTCTCTCATCTGTGTCTAGTCTAAGCGCAGGGCAAGTGTAGCGGCTGTGCTAGGCTTCGGAAACTCTCCCCTCGGTGCCTCTGTAAGTAGCCCTTTGTTATTAATTAGCCACATTGTATTTACAATAGAAACCTTTCAGGTCTGCTGAGAGCCAGAAGGGCATTAAAGTACAAATCCACTCCAAAAATAACTTACTTTCAATAGAAGCAGAAAAATTGGACAAACCAATCAAAAAAAGTTTGAGCAAAATCATATAACTAATAAGAAATTCTTGAATTTTTGAAAAAGTTTGTAAAACTATAGAAAAATGAAACCACTACACAAATTGCCAATTTGGTTTCAGTTTGTGACTTAAATTATTTTTTGAGTTGACTTGGCCTTTAAATTGAGTTTTACAATGGTCAATTCCAAGGGTTATGGATGGAATTACACTTTAGAGGGTTTTGTAATTTTGTAAAATGAATTCATGTGCATATTTAAGATACAACATGTACAGTGTATGTCCCTTTTGCAGCCAACATCAGATTCTGTAGAAATTTGCAGGAATTATAAATATGTCATGTATGTCCTATCTGTGAAATTTATACATTAGCAGTGTCCTAGTATTCAAATTATGCAAGAAGACCCTTCTAGACTTCACTGTCAGTACAGACACTATTGTCAGACACTATTGAGTGACTGACTGATATTTTGTTTTTCTTTGGTAATAACATACATAAAATGAGCTGTAACAGGTACATATGAGCATTTGTCTACATCAATAACCCACTACTTGTAATGGCCAAAATTATACGGATTGAATCTTTGTGCAGCACAAAACGTACGACCATTTAGGAAAAGGGTCTGAAAATCAGACTATTACTTGGGTGATTGCAATCACTTAAGTTGATTCGACAACTAATGGTTGTTATTTTCCCACTCATAGCCATGTTCAAGCCCTTTTGTTTTGAAGGAAGTTCTAAATGAGTATTTAAAGGGTATTTTCCATTGTCAACTGTAGTATAGTCTAATGGCAAACAAAATAGGGTTTAAACCAACTTATTTTTTATCTCTCTTTTTAATTGGTATTTTAGATTAAGCCTAGAATTTTACGTTAAGGTTCCATTCTGAAACAAAAGCAGAAAACAATTCTGAAATATTAATATTATACTCTGTTCAAACATAGTTGTAACTTGGCCACTTGATTTATGTTACATGTTTTGTATTCTGTTATTTGTAGTAATATGATGAATTTTTTATCCCAATATTCCTAAAAAACAATGACCCATTCTTCCCTAAAACTGAATGGAACAGTCCCTGGCAAAGAACCACAATCGTGCACAAAGTGTGCCAGTGGCTATCACTCGTAAGACCATTCAATTTTTTCAGGGGGTAAGTGTACTTAGTAGCATGGTTGTAATTTGGTGGTTATGTGTATATTTTCATGCTGGGTACACTATCTTTACAAGATGACTAGAAAATACTTTGAAAAAATAATTTGCATGCTTATATTAATCTTATTTTCTTTTATATTTTGTCTTATCTTTAGAAATGTATAGTACTTTTAAACAATTAATTTACATGCTTAATCTTATTTTCTTTTATATTTCATCTTATCTTTAGAAATGAAGATGACAAATTTATGAAAATTTGTTTGATAGGTGGAATAAGTCCATTTTCCCTTCATTTTTCCTTTGTTTTATCTTTAAATTGTTAATTTTTGTGGGAGTTTACATGTACTTAACGTAAATGTCATTTTAGCTGTATATAATTAAACTTATTTTACAAACCCATTATGATGGTTTCATTGACAGTAAAGGTATTTTTATCAGAAGAAGTTATACTTTTAATTGTTTGTCATCATTATCACACCAATTATATACTCTCACTCCGAATACATACCTGGTATTCAGTTCTATGTTCTTATTTGTTTTGTGGTGTTTGTTCCTTGTTACTGTGCAGTATGTGGTAGTAATGTTGATTGTTATTTGTTAACCATTTTTATTTTTACAAAACATGGGGGAGTTTTGTGGCCCAACCTTCCATGTATTGCACTTAAAATGTATTAATGAGTTATTTTCACACTGATGATCAAACATACTACAGTATACTTTGGGTCTTGATTTTAACTTACATTTCATTATTTATTTGAATTCAAGTATTTTCCTGCCACTTTTAAATGATCCCTTAAAAACATACTTCGGTATAAATATCATGTCATATATGTGTATATGTATTTCATGTTTTCCTTGGAATTCTGTGATTTTATTAGCGCTATGGTGCTTCTTGTTTTAGCGCTCTTCAATAATCAATGTTCTTGTTATATATTATTATTATTAATCTGTGCCTATCGGGTGTCAACCTTCACAGTTAAAGCCAACTTGTTAACTCTCTAGGTCACATTTACTCATCTCTTACACTCTCTCTCTCTCTCTCTCTCCTTTGAATATTCATTAGGATGGGCGGAACCGGTTTGCCTCATTGGCCAATGCTGCTCTGATTGACAGATCTTTGACTAGCCCAGTAGGTGGAAGGGGTGCTTTAGAGACCTGCAAGGAGGGTGAGAGTGAGAAGAGAGACATTCCTAGGTTCTCAGATATCAACAAAAAGAAACTCAGGTGGGTCATTAATTAGCTATCAAAACTATTTTGCTTTTAGAGAAAGTTGTACTCCTTTTTGTGGAAGAGAAAATCCTTTCAGAACTACTTCACGTAGGAATACAAACAGTTCTTTTCAGAGCTACATTTTTAATTTTTCACTCCTCATTTTTTTTTATTTGCTCACAACCTTCTCAATCTCTGTCACTCCTTCTTTTTCTTTCCTTGATTCCTTTCATTTCACGCCATTTTTTGGAAATCACATCTCAAATCTCTCGTTGAGAAATCACAGTCCAGAGCTAGCCAACTCCACCACCCTTATCACCATCATTACTATCATCACCATCATCACCACTATTATCACCATCACCACCACCATCACCATCACCACCACCACCATCATCATCATCACCACCACCACCACCATCACATAATCATCACCACCACCACCACCACCACCACCACCACTACTACCATCATCATCACCAACATCAGCATCATCGTCATCACCATCATCATCATCATCATCATCATCACCATCACCACCACCACCACCACTACCACCACCCCCACCACCACCACCACCATCACCACCATCATAATCACCACCACTACCATCATCACCATCACCACCATCATCACCCCCACTACTACCATCATCTTAATCAGTATCATTATTACCACTAGTATCATCATCACCACCATCATTACCATCACCATCATCAGTATCACAATCACCACCATCCTCAGAATTATCAATCACATTTTTAATAATAATTATTATGAACCATATTTCTATATCCACAGTATATCCCTCTCTGGTGGGAATATCAGTCCAGAGCTTTCCCAGCTCTCTCCCATCAAGCCCCTAACTCCACCAGCCTCATCACCATTATCATCATCATCATCATCATCATCATCATCATCATCATCATCATCATCATCATCAGTATCATCATTATCATTAGTATCATCACCACCATCATCATTGTCATCACCATCATTACCATCACCATCATCACCTCCATCACAATCATCATCATCTCCACCACTACTTTCATTATCATCATTACCATTAGTAGGCTATCATCATCATCATCATCATCATCATCATCACCACCATCACAATCATCATTACCACCACTACTACCATCATCATCATCATCAGTATCATTATCACCACCATCATTATCATCGTCATCGTCATCATCACCATCACCACCATCACCACCATCACCACCATCATCATCATCACAATCACCATCGTCCTCAAAATTATAAATAAGTTTTTAATAATTATTATGAACCAATTTTCTGTTTTAATACACAGTATATCCCTCTCTGGTGGGAATCACAGTCCAGAGCTTGCCCAGCTCTCTCCCATCAAGCCTCTGACTCCACCAGCCTCATCACCGACTGATAAATCACCTCGACTAGTCTCCTCAACTCCGGTGGTTATCAGTGGGGACGGAGAGGGCAAGAATAACAGTCAGAGGTCCAAAACAGAAGAGGAAATCTTCCAGCAAGGGTAAGAAACTCTGCTCTTCAATTGAAACCTTTTTTCTCTCATTTATTTATTTAAAAAAAAATCCAGGTAAATTATATTTCAGTATGAAAATAAAAAATGATATGTACAGTCAAACTTGCTTAAAGCCCCACTGTACTACTTGTAGCTACTTGCTCCCTCTATATACATGTAGAGAACAATGCCTAAGCGCTGACCATTGGTCCCCCATGATCCTCTTTTTCTGATGTTAATTGAGAGCTGATAAATGAGATAGCCACCTGTCAGTGACCTCCCAGGGTGGTCTAATCCCTCCTAGCCAAACTAGTATAGGTGTATGGCCTTTAAACGTTCATTTATTATAACAAAATTGAAGGTAAATTAATTTCAGTATGACAATGATATACAGTCAAACCTGCTTTAGTGACCACCTGTCTACAAAGACCACATTTTTGTTTCCCCTTGAAAATGGTTTCTCATTGCAACATATACTAAAGGAACCTGTCTGCAAAGACCTCTTTTTGTGTTTCCCATGGGTGGTTGCTATAGACAGGTTTAACTGTATTTTTGAAATGGAACTAACAAATAGTTAAGTCAGTCAAGTTTGGCCCCGTTTAATTTTAATACCCCATTTATGACAATGAGTAAGTAATTAAGAGTAATCATTGAATTACAAGAAAATATATTTGGTTTGTGTTACCCTTGAAACTTTTTTGTCGCTATCAAATATATAAACAAAATAATTATATAACTTGAGCATATATACAGATGTACTTTAAAATTCATGTGAGTTGAAGATTATCACTTAATTAAAGATTATTTTCAAATTATCATTATTATTATCTGTTGCAGAGTAGAGCACTTCAATATATAGATGTGACTTTGTCATCAAACTGGAGAGATTTCTAAAACTTTTGTGGAATTGGATTAACTCTTTATTCACTGGATTGAATATATTTTTATGATGCATATGCATTTCCCGTTGGACAAACTTCTTCTGTGGCAGTCCACTGTTAGATCCAGAAGTCCTAAGTTGGTCGAGATTTTGATAAATAACAGATTCAAAATTATAGGTAACAATGTTTGTCAAGATGGTAACAACACCACTTTGCTTTAAAGGAATTGGGTAACATTGCCTCAGATTCTGAAACAAAATCCAGGAGTTAGCTCATGCCGCAAACATAATTATAAACCTTGAGGTCAGTCAGGAATCCCATGATTTTTACAAGTCGATCGCCTGTCTGATTATCAAGATATTTATGATTGGAAGTCAAAATTTCATTTTTCGTTTTCCTAAAGGTTTTTATAACACTTCAGTCTATTTGGGAAAATGAGTATGGTAAAACCGGTCAGTCAAAGATTTTTTTACTTTTTTGAGGCACTTCATGATCATTTTGAAGCACAATTTTGTTAGGGCTTCAATATTACACCATATCACAGACACTGATAACACGTAGGGCCATGCATCTCAGATTTAACATTGTTAAACGATGCCTTTAATCCACCACAGATTTGAACAAGGTGTGCGGTCTCAGATCTCCCAGGAGTTGGATGACCTTCGTGATCAACAGAGGGCGCTGTGCGAGAATCTTGAAGAGATCATGGAAGCTGCGGAGGACGAAGATGAAGACGAGCATGAAAAGAATGGGTAAGATGTCATTACTTACAGGGGCTGTAGCGTGGGAATTGCTGGTTGACACCATCTATGTCATCTTTTGGACAATTGCACTTTAACGAGTGGACTTCATTAACTGGGTCAGCGCGCTAGCGTTCGCGAAACAGACCGAAGTTCTCCTCACGCTTCGGTTCGCGTATGTTGCACGCACATGAATACGTAGGCCTACTGTGGTCGTGTCGTCCGTAGTCGTATTATACCCGATTTTCCCAAAGTGGGCCTCAGGGAAGATGCATAGTCTCGTCACGCTACAGCCCCTTTAAATACCAGAGGCTTGTACACGTGTGAAACAGTAAATCGTGTTGAAAAAAAAAAAATAACATAAGAATTATGTGCTTCTACTTTGATTGGAAGATAAATGATCATGTGACAATTTTTAATTTTCTACTACATGTACTTACATCTCAGGACCCAAGACTACACTTAAGATTAACCTTTGAATAAGATAATAGAAATAAAAAATTGCGCATTAGGGCAATGCTATGGGGCCAAAAAGTTGAACCTTAGCCCTAAACATAACCTAAGATTGAATCTTGGCATTAATTCATATTATTCAACACAGAATTTTCGCCCTTCCAACTCTTTAAACAGACTAATTCATTCCCTTTCATTGCTATCTGTGTTTTTATTCCCACAGTGAGACACAGCCTATAATGAAATTGATGCGGCAATACTCCAAGACTATCCCATGGTCTAGGGCGAGCAGGATAGGTCGCTTGATCCTGACTGGAACGCTCTTCATCCTCGCCATCATCAGCATCATAGGGACCATACTACCGCTGGAGAAGTGTAGCGGGGGTGGATCTCTGCTCTCAGCTCCATGGGAAGAGGTCGTGAGGGTTTTAGGGCCTTATACTAATATATACCACCCTAGCCCACCTCCTATATGAATCTGATACTTTGTACCCCTTAAAGGGGGGTGAGAGGGGTGTAACGCTGCCCTCCGCCCGGTTAAAAGAGGTGGTGAGGATCTTGCGACCCGTTACTAATAGAAACCACCCAAGCCCACCTCCTATATGAATTTGATACTTTGTACCCATTAAAGGGGGTGAGAGGGGTGTAACAATGCTCTGTGCCCGGTGGGACGCAAAGTTGCGAGGGTCTTGGTACTAATATAAACCAACCTAGACCACCTCCTATATGAATTTGATGCTTTGTACCCATTAGAGGGGCTGAGAGGGGTGTAACAATGCTCTCCGCCCGGTGGGAAGAGGTTGTGAGGGTATTGGGACCCGCTACTAATAGAAACCACCCTAGACCACCTCTTGTGTGAATTTAATACTTTGTACCCAAAGGCTCGTTCAGATACATGTATGGCGCTGTAAGCCGCAACAAAGGTCTTGTGCGCATTCACTGAGCTTTTTTTTTTAAGATATAAAAATGTGTAGCGTATTACACTTTACGTTGTCATCATATCTGAACAAGCCTTGAGGGTTATCCGAGGTGCAGCACGGATGTTCTACCCACTTCATACACCGCCAATAGAATATTGAGACATTGTTATCAGTTGAAGGGGCAGAGGAAAGCAGAACGACTCCTTAAGAGGGGTAGCAGGGGTGCAGTTCATTATGTCTGCTACCTGAGAAGTTTTTAAAGGTCTTCTAGAAGTCCTCTTGAACTCCTACAAAATATGGACCTCCAGTACCCTGAACACAATCTTGGGAGCTCAGAAATGATTATCCTTCTGGGGCCTGTTTCACAAAGCCTTTTTTTCAATGACAAATGACAAAAATCAGTGACAACTCTGCTGATAACCAATCAGAAGCAAGGATTTCAGTAGCTTATAACAAAGACTGTCATTTGTCACTGATGACAAGTTTTGGGAAACAGGTCCCTGAATGTCATTCAGTGTAGGTTTATTGAGGAATACATTGAAGGAATGAGTAATGATTCATTGCAATAGATTTTATCCAAAGCCTTCCATACGTGTACAAGAGATGTCAAAACGAAATAGATTCATAGAACGTGTATAAAATTGTCAATTTGTTAACTGTCAGCCTTCCACGAATGCTGGTACAGTTTGCCTAAAGTTATTAATGTTCCTTATATACCTGGGTAGCGTTTCACAAAACCGTCATAAGTGCAAGTTCACCGACATCCCATTGAAATGCTTGTTAAACTTAATACACGCATTTCAATGGGATGTCGTTGAACTTGTACTTATGGCGGTTTCGTGAGACCCTGCCCTTATGTTTACACTTTGTATAAAGCTGTACATAATTTATCACCCATAGCCTTCCTAACTAGATATACCTGAAATTGTAGATATGTTTAGAGTTTTGTATAAACGTGCTCAGATTTTTCATCATTATGTACTTTTTCATTTATGTTCCATGCAGTGCATGGCAGGAAAATGTTTACAGTTCCAGATCAATAAATTTAGTACTACATGATCAAGAGTTATATTTTACATAAAAAGTGGTCTTGATAATATTGATATATGTTGTGTAAATGAAATGAATTGATATACTGTGACTAAACTCATTTTCAAATAGTTATATATATTAAAGAATATATGCAATATCCTTAGACAGTATATGAAGAGGGGATATTTAGTGAGTAGTTTTACATGTTTTTGTGCTTTTTTTGTAGTGTCATTTATATATGGACCCATGGGTGTAAAGTGCCTACTAAGTGTGACATTTAATACTGAGATTGAAATCCAAAGCTAACAGTACACAAGCTTTGTTTTAATTTGATCTGACTTGACTCTAAAGGCTTGTTCAGCTATGGTGCAGTAACCGCCACAAAATGGCCGCCTTATATTTTTTTTTTTTTTATGTGTAAAGGAATAGGAATGGGAACTGTGTGAAGCAAAGCATTTGCACATATTCCACTGAGCTATGTGCCATATGATACAAAAATGTGAAGTGTATTAAACTTTATGAGGCGCATGTGGAAGTGTGGTGGTCCAGTGGACAATTCACAGGACATAGTTCGCAGTTTGAGTTCCGCGGCGGCACCAATGTCCCTTGGCAAGACATTAATCTACATTTGCCACACTCCATACAGGTGTGGTAAATGGGTACCTGGCAGGATTTAATTCCTTGAAATGCTTTTAGTGCCTTAATGGCAGACATGCTAAAGCTGGGATAATAATCAGGAGCACCAGGAGTGTCAAGTCTGACAGACATGAGTGCTTTACAAGAACACACTATTACTATTATGGCATCATAACAAATATTTTAAAACGCAGGAGCTTTGCTACGTCATGTATGAAAGAGCCTTAAGAAGATAAGTGTAAGATGGTTTCCAAGTGACCAGGGGACTTGATTATTGAGAAAAAGATGCCTTACCAAAGGGCAATAGTAGAATCGGATATGAGGCTACTGCTCTAACTCTGCTCTACCACTGAATAGCTGGTTCAGATATGGCACGCTAAACCGCCGTCAGAACAAGAAAGGGCTACCTTTTTTTGTTGATGTTTCAAATGAGTTGCAACTGTGCGTAACAGTGGACTTCTGTGTTATCAGATTAAAGAAAATAATGTGAATCATATCACACTTAATGTCATCAGGAACAAAACCTCTGTGGTTTTGCTGCGTTGTATCTAAACGAGCCCGTACACCGGTACGTTTAGTACCGTAGCACAAACAACTCTTGAGAACAGAACTATATTATGCTTTAGCTAATGATTCCCTTGTATAACCCTCATCTATATATTGCTTTCCTTCATTGATTGGAATGCAGTTGACATGTACATACATTCTAAGGTGCTATGTTTTATAAACAAGAAAGTTATGTTAACATGTTGTTCATTCCACATAGTTTGTATTATTACAAATTATTGTATCGTTACAATAATAATTCCTGTGTATTGAGCAGAGATAATATGACCTCCTGCACATAGAAACTGCCTTCTTTATCCCCTTAAATACAGATTTAAAGCCCTCCTGGCTGTAAACAGGCAATATTCAAATTTTACATGGGGCTCTTCATTTTGTGACAGTCATTTGTTGTACAAAAATGAAGATTTGCCTGATTTTGATTACCGGTATAACATTTAAATGATTTTGTGCCCATTTTACACCATGGTGTGCTTTAAGTCAAGATGTCCCTAAATCTTGTCTACCATTTCATTTTCATGTTATGGTTGGAAGATTCATTCTTTCACTTCATTGTGTAACCAAGGTCTACTGGTTTTTAAAGTGCTATTTTTTACTTGCTCAGCAGAAGTTGCGAGGCCTTAGACAAAATTGGAGTAATGTTATTGCATTCGTTCTCTGTGGCTGAATATTGACCAAACTATTCAGAGAGGCTTGCATTGTTCTGACCTTGATGTCTTTTTCCCCCATAACATCAGTATTAATTAAACCAACTTAAGCGTTTTGATTTAAACAGGCTTTGTATGATAGATGCATCCAGCCTCAACTCAAGTGCGGAAAGATCGTATAATGAACTTTCGCATGCATCATTAATTTGTATAATGAGCTTTTTTTTAATTGATGCTTTTCATAAATAGACTTTTAGCTTTTATTGGCAAATTTGAAAATGTGACACCTCTTATTGGTAAACTTGGTGTGTGACCAACCAACCCCTCTCCCTATCCAAAATGGTCTAGTGACACTCCTAACTCTCTCCTTGTATTATGTAATTCGCATTTATCCTAGTTGGTCATCCCATTTTCTGTATTTGATGATAGATGCCTCTAATATTGTTTTAAGAATTTATGTCGCATAAAACTATTAAAGTATCAAAATTCGGAGTAAATCTAGATGGTGTTAACAACATGTCATTTGTTCAGAGCCAAAAGGGCATTAACTCTGTGTTAAAATATTTGGGTTAAAGCTCTTCTTGCTCCAGACGATGTCGGCAGTTTTAGGATGAAAGCTTTAGGACCAAACCTTTAGGACCAAACCTTTTCACTTGGGAACTGGTATGACATATATGTACATTATGTTTTTCATTGGTTTTTAATAATCAGATGTACATGTTCTAATTGATCTTTCATGCTAGTTGATGCCTTCATATTTGACTGCCAGGAGGCAATATTTTTTTGTACCGGTACTAGGTTTGTTTGTAAAATGTTTCATTCAAACTTTTCTGAGATGCCTTACATTATACAGAAATGTTACATGATTATTTATATCAATTTGAGAGACTGTTTCAGAATAAACAATTATTGATGTTTATATTTTTATCGCACACTGGTTCTTGCTTGAATGAAGAAATGGAGTAAGATTTAGAGACAAATCTAGATGAGGCAGATTGAGCGAGAAAGAGGGAGTGAGTGAGAGGGGATTAATGAGGGAGATTGAGTGAGAAAGAGAGGGAGAGTGGGTGACAGAGAGAGAAAGAGACTGAGAAAAAGAGTGGGTGAGAACGGGAGATAGAGAAAGAGTGGGTGAGAGAGAGAGAAGGAGATTTATTGAGAAAGAGGGAGAGTGGTGAGAGAGAAAGGAGATTGAGTGAGAAAGAGAGTGGGTGAGAAAGGGAGAGAGGGGAAGATTGATTGAGAAAGAGAGTGGGTGAGAAAGGGAGAGAGGGGAAGATTGATTGAGAAAGAGAGTGGGTGAGAAAGGGAGAGAGGGGAAGATTGATTGAGAAAGAGAGTGGGTGAGAAAGGGAGAGAGGGGGAGATTGATTGAGAAAGGGAGAGTGGGTGAGAGAGAGGGGGAGATTGATTGAGAAAGAGTCGGTGAGAAAGGTAAATAGAAGAGAGTGAGTGAGAACGGGAGAGAGAGGGAGAGTGGGTGAGAGAGAGAGGGGGAGATTGATTGAGAAAGGGAGAGTGGGTGAGAGAGAGGGGGAGATTGATTGAGAAAGAGTCGGTGAGAAAGGTAAATAGAGGAGAGTGAGTGAGAACGGGAGATAGAGGGAGAGTGGGTGACAGGGGGAGATTGAGTAAGAAAGAGAGGAAGAGTGGGTGAGAAAAAGGAAGGGGTGGTCAGAGGGAGGGAGATTGAGTAAGAAAGAGGAGGAGTTTGTGTGTGAGATAGAAAAAGAGAGTTTGAGTGAGAAAGAGAGTGGGTGAGTGAGAGGGAAATTGAGTGAAAGACAGCGAGATCGGGTGAGAAAGAGAGTGAGTAAGAAAGAGGGGGGGGGTTATAGTGTGTGAGAGAACAAGAGGAAGATTGAGTGAGAAAGAAAGGTAGAGCAAGTGAGAAATCGAGTGAGAGAGAGGGAGATTGAGTAAGGGAGAGTGGCTGAGAAAGAGGAAGAGGGAAGATTGAGTTATAAAAAAGGGTGAGCGGGTGAGAATGAATTAATGAGGGAGATTAATAGATTAATAGAAAAATGGGAGAGCGGGTGAGAGAGAGGGAGATTGAATGAGAAAGAGGGAGAGTGGGTGAGAGAGAGAAGGGGTTCGAGTGAGAAAGAAGGGGAATTGGTGTGTGAGAGAAAAAGAGGAAGATTGAGTGAGAAAGAGAGGTATAGAGCTAGTGAGAAAGAGGGAGATTGAATGAGAAAGAGAGTAGGTGAGGGTAAGGGAAATTTAGTGAGAGAGGGGGGAGTGGGTGAGAGGGAAGCTAGGGTTCGAGTGAGAAAGAGAGTGGGTGAGTGAGAGGGAAATTGAGTGAAAAAAGTGGGAGTGGGTGAGAGAGAGAGAGAGAGAGATTGAGTAAGGAAGAGTGGGTGAGAAAGAGGGAGAGGTTGAGATTGTATTAGAAAAAGGGAGAGTGGGTGAGAGGGAATTAATGAGGGAGATTGAGAGAGAAAAAAGGGAGAGTGGGTGAGAGAGAGAGAGAGGGATTTGGAGTGAGAAAGAGGGGAAGTGTGAGAGAAAAAGAGGAAGATTGAGTAAGAAAGAGAGCAGGTGAGTGAGAGGTGAATTGAGTAAGGGAGAGTGGGTGAGAAAGAGGGAGAGGGGGGAGATTGTGTTAGAAAAAAGGGAGAGTGGGTGAGAGGTATTGAGTGAGAAAAAGAGACAGGTGTGCGGAAGGAATGAGGGAGATTGAGAAAGAAAGAAGGAGAGTGGGTGAGAGAGGGGGAGGAGAGATTGAATAAGAAAAAGGGGCAGTTTGTGTGTGAGAGAGAGAAAGAGGGAGATTAAGTGAGAAAGACAGTGGGTGAGAGAGAGAAAAATACATTTAGTAAAAGGGGAGTGGGTGAGAGAGAGGGAGAAAGGGAGAGTGAGTGAGAGAGAGTAAGGTAAGGGGAGTAATAGTGTGTATAAATTATGTGAATGTGTGTAATGGGAGTGAGAACAGAGAAAGAGAGAGAGAGGGTGCCAGGTGGGCATTAAGTTTCAATAACCTTTTAAAAGGGAAATATTTCCTTGATGGTAAAGTGCTTCAAAGGTAAGCAGATTTTTTTATTAAGCTGACTGGTGAAAGTTTGAACGAAAATTTTGAAAAGTTTGAACAAAAAATACTTAAGTTAGGAATTTTCTAGAATAATTGTTATCACGTATGGACACCGAGTTCAAATTGGTTGAATCAAAAAGACGCGTCACTGTGATGGTCGAAGTGCCGGACAATTTTCCCATTTGATCCAGCACACAAATTAATGAGTCTTTTTTCCGTTTTAAAGATTCATGAGGGTTTTTTTCTTTTTAGAGAACCTTTAATAATTAAGATGCTATCCACAATCTGTGTTTTTTTAGATGTGTCCCAATTAGGGAGACGCGACGCTTAGGAGAAAAAAAATTAGGCCTACTATATTTTTGTACTTAAGAATATGCTGATAAACTACTTGTACTCCTTTGTTGAGGAGGAGGGGGTGTCCCCTAAACAAACAAAAAAAAAGAGATGAAAAAAAAAACGGAAGGTAGAGAGGCGTAGCCGGGAATCCAACCGAGTACATCTGCATTGTGAAGCGATATCTTATCCACAAGACCACTGTGCTTCACTGATATCAACTTGTTCGGTTCAAGATGTTAACACTTTCTGATGTAAATGACTTCAAAAAATATGATGATAAACTACTTGTAATCCTCTGTTGAAGAGGAGGGGGTGGCCCCTAAACAAAAAAAAAGAGAAGAACAAATCAATATGAAGAAAAAATTGCTTAAAAAACATACGGGGTAGAAAGGCATAGCCGGGAATCGAACCGAGTACATCTGCATTGTGAAGCGATGTGTTATCCACAAGACCACTGTGCTTCACTGTTATTAACTTGTTCGGTTCAAGATATTAACACTTTCTGATGTTAATGACTTTAAAAAATATGCTGATAAACTACTTGTACTCCTTTGTTGAGGAAGAGGGGGTGGCCCCTAAACAAAAAAAGAGATGGACAAATCAAAAGGAAGAAAAAAATGATTAAAAAACACGAGGTAGAAAGGCATAGCAGGGAATCGAACCGAGTACATCTGTATTGTGAAGCGATGTCTTATCCACATGACCACGTACTGTGCTTCACTGATATTAACTTGTTCTGTTCAAGATGTTAACACTTTCTGATGTTAATGACTTTAAAAAATATGCTGATAAACTAATTTTACTCCTTTGTTGAGGAAGAGGGGGTGTCCCCTAAACAAAAAAAAGAGAAGGACAAATCAATATGAAGAAAAAAAATGATCAAAAAACACGAGGTAGAAAGGCATAGCCGGGAATCGAACCTAGTACATCTGCATTGTGAAGAGATGTCTTATCCACAAGACCACTGTGCTTCATTGATATTAACTTGTTCGCTTCAAGTTGTTAACACTTTCTGATGTTAACAAACGGGGAAGTTGTAGGCCTACCCTTTGATTTTCTATTATTTCATATCCAAGTATTTGCAAACCGAACTCACTTTATTCTTGTTTCCATTGTTAATAATTTATGTACTATGTATTGTTTATACCTTATAATGATATTTATATGTCTATGGAATTATTCGTACCTTGTAAATTCACTTTCATTAGCTTCCAGCTGTATTGTTGAATATTCGAATAAAACCTTATCAAATCAAATAAATACATCAAAATCCACGCACCAAATTGACAATTTACTATTCACATAATAGAGTAAGTGATTTAGTATTCCAAACACCTATAAAGTTTATATTTTTGGTCCGATTTTATTTCAATTTTCCGCCCATCTGTTTCTCTCAATTTTCCGATTACAATCAAATGAATTTATAACAATGATTGGGTGATGGAGGGTGTCATTATGTAGGTCAATGACTTGCCAAAGCTGTAGCGGCGGGACTCGAACACCGAACCATAATGACCCACAGCCTGACGACTTAAAAAAATGAATAATATCATATCAAATAATTTCATTTCTCATGCAAAACATAATAATGAATAAGTATATTACAAACAAATATTTATACTCCGCGGTCGATCAAGTTCATAACTCTTCTGCCAGTCATCAGCTTCATCAACATTTAGAAAATCACCAAAACCACCAAAAGCTAAGAAGAGGGAGAAAAAGGGTGCCCTCGATCTTTGAAACGTAGAGAGAGAAAAATGAGAGCAGAGAAAAGCTAAATGAAACCAAAACGAAAATGCGTGATAGTGAAATTTATACAATCAAACATTCTTTCTGCGAATGTATTGAAACAAAAATCATTAATGCAATGTAAATAGTTTTAAGGATAAAATCTTGATAAAATTAAGTTACTGGTATTTCCCCCACCGCACACATTTAGTGAAGAACAAAGAATTCAAATTCTATCAAGAAATATTAGGGGTACCACAGAGCATAATGATTGATTAGATCGATAGAGCGCCATCTCTCGTTTGAGATTGTAAGAAATTGTAAGCAGAACTAAAATGAACTTGCGACATCGATCGAAAGTTGTAACTACTTTCTTGGCCTGAGCTGAGCAAGTAAAATCAAGATGACGGAGCAACACACCAATAACTGCATCACAGTTTCATCGCTATTTTCAGTGTAAGTGAAGTATTAAAGTGAGTTAAGTAATCCAAAATTGCTTAACGTTTTGACTAGTCTCTGTCGTGCAGCGGCTGCTCTTGATTGCAGGCCAAGGCTGTCGGGAGGGCCGAGGGGACAGGACGATGGCTCTACCGCTTCGAAGTCCTACATGTAGGCTCGCGCCCGGCTAATTAGGTTTGAAGTTTGAAGTTCGTGCGAACTGTGATGTGATGTTCTGTGCAATGTCAGAGTGTTTGCTTGGATGGACAGCGTGCAAGAGTATGAATAGATTAAAGGAGGAATGGAAGTAGAGAAGAGAGAGAGGTGGCTGTCGCAAAAGGAAATCTTTCCGCGAAGCCGGGCCGAGGCTGAGCTACATGTAGACCGAAAGCTTCAGTCTCTATACCGTCGGTTGTTCCACTGAGACTACGTCTGGCTCCACTAGACCTCCGGTTATAGAGACTGAATGATCGCCTATGCCAGCCTATGTTGAAGATATCACGGCTAGATTTTAGCCGTTAGGCCCCTCCCACAAACATGAACAAACTTGCCACGGCCGTATTGTTATGCCCCCAAAATCCCCCAAAATGTCATTTTACCTCGTGCATATCCAATTTTACATTAGGCCTAGACTATAGTCTAATACTAGGGTGTCTGATCGCGCACCCGATGTTGTGTGCTAAAATTCTTCCCATAGAGATTACACGCATCCCTATGCAGCCTACGTGCATTGCGCGACCATGCAAAAAAAGTCAATTTTTTTTTTTCAAATCGAGATTCAAACCTTTATCAGTTGTGATCCTGAAGGTGATAATCAATGAATGAGGTGTCATATGAAAGAGCAGGTGAATTCCAATATTTCCAAAGGGGCGTAGCCCCCGAAATTCTAAAAATATCTTGGTCAAAACAGCAATTTAAACATTGTGTCCTGGCTAACTCTCAGGTTTGTCACTTTTGAGATATGACGCCCCGATCGATAAGTAGTCCCAGTCCTGAGGAACAATTCTATGTGATTATATTTTCGCTAGCCCCCAGGGATCACAACTGATAACAGTTTAAAAATACCCTTCTCGCTATTTGGTGGATCAGCTAATTAGGAGGCGTGCGCTCCGCTCAGTCCAAACCATGGTTACATCGCGTAACATCTCCGCGCACGAACGAAACCCCAAATTATAGTGACTGAAATTATGGTTGGCAATTCCCTCGATAAACCCGGAAGTGAATACACGTTATAGTCAATGGCAATATCGCGGAGACAACGTGCGTTGTCTCCGCGATATTGCCATTGACTATAACGTGCATTCACTTCCGGGTTTATTGTGCGACGAACGCCAACCATACTAGTCAATCGCACATGTCGCGGAGACAGCGTAGCTCAAGCTGCAAGTCGCGGATTGGCTTAGCAGCATGCGTACGATATGCATACGCTTGCATATCGCGCGATACAGCTGTTTGGCTAAATTTAGCAAAACAACATCACTCTGCGTGGACGTCTTTTTCGTCGATTTTGACCAAAATGATATGAATATACCAGCGTGTTGGAGGGGCTGTAACTTTTGATAGAAACATCGGTGAGACTTGAAATTTGAAATGTATTATTCTGATAACATTTTTTATTCAAATATCAAACAAAAATGGTGAAAAACGATCCCAAATTGAAAATTGAAAAATCGTTCAGACACCCTACTAATACATCGGTTCCACTTACTAACTTGATTGAAATAATCTGTTTAATGGTCCCTTTTAAGGAAATTATGGGTCAAAATCGACATCCATGTTGAAAATCTTGCAAGCCGTGTTAAACTCTCGCTGCCGTCAATCTTATCCCTTCTAGTCTACGCCGAAGGCAAAAATGATTATGAAGGAAAAACTGTGATAACGCCATTACGAACGTGTAGATGGCGCACAGTTGAAAATCTTGCAAGCCGTGTTAAACTCTCGCTGCCGTCAATCTTATCCCTTCTAGTCTACGCCGAAGGCAAAAATGATTATGAAGGAAAAACTGTGATAACGCCATTACGAACGTGTAGATGGCGCACTTGACATTTCTTGACATTTCTCTTATTCCCCTTTACAAGTATCCACTTTTACTCTTCGTCAAAACGGCAACAAATTATACAGTAATGTCCCTGGCATAGCATCACACATATAATATTCACTTTCACACGTGCGATTCAATGATTACTGAAGTTGAACGAATGAAATTCAACTTATAATTAATACATTTTATCTATATATCAGAAACTCACTTCTTTGGCCGGAACTAAGCAATTTACTGCCGAAACACTGAGCTCACTGGTGTCACTGTAAAAACAGGACAAAACGGGGAAAACTGGAAAAACTGGAGAGCTCATCTCCATAATCCTACTATAAAAAACATCGATCATAAATACAACAGATATTGTAAATATTTAAATTGCCAATTCACCTTCTATAAAATACCTAAATGCTTCATTTAGGCTGAAAGAGAATGAATATCTAGCTTTCCTGATATTATAATTAACAAAATGAACCTTTTTTCTTATCTTATGAAACAAAGAATCTGAACTCTAAAAATCTCTTCTAAGATTTTCGACTTGCTGAAAAAACCACAAAATAAATTTCGCTCAGCGAAACAATAACGACTTACTTTCATCTAAATCAGTCTGACTCTGATATTGTGAAACTATACAGTATACTGCAGGCAATGACATGGGCAATCACACACCGACTAGAGAGTCTATCTTTGTTTTATTTCCAGGTCTCTTTTGTCGGTGATCAAACAGTTGCCATGTTTTCTATCTCAACTTGACAACCTTCCAATCAACGTCAAAGATAATCTCCTTCATCTGATGTCCAAGAGAGGTCTACTTACAGACACCAATGTAGCAAAGGTTAGTTAATCTCCTTTTGATAAAGATACACTTAGGTTTTCTAATAATAAAGCTCATTCAGATATACACTGTAATAGATGATCATAATATGGATATTTATATAGTGCCGGTATCCACCAGGCTCTGGTGCTCATGGCGCTTTACATATTACCCTGGTTGTAGTGGAGCTGCCAAAGTACTAGCGCTTATTGCTTATTAGGTACCCATTCACACCTGGGTGGAGAGTGGAAAATGTAGATTAATGTCTACGTCTTATGATGTGGCAAAACTGTGGTGGTGTTAATTCTTAAGTAAAGTGTTAATACACTTCATACATGTATATGAACAAGCCTTTTTACACAATACACATCTTATTTCTCAAAAATAAGGCTCTCAAATTTAGAAGAAGGTTCTTTTAATAGACGTATAATCTACTCTTAACATGTTGTTTATTCCTCAGTGTTCTAGCCAGTACCTAGCCTATCCGATATGCGTCGGGCTTTACAAGTATATACTAATCACGTTAAGGAGACTGACATCAGCGTGGGTGTCAGCCCGAGTGCCTATCATCACTGGTGCATGCGAAAAGTTTTATTTTCTTTTATTAACCTTGTTTGGTTCATAGAAAATCTACGAACCCCCTGTAAAGCTCTTTCATGAATATTTATGTAGCATGGACCAAAATAGGCCGATGAGCGATGAGGAACCTGGAGATGATATTTGATTGGTTGAATCAAAGTGATCGATCACCAAATAAGGCTAGTCTTATGAATCATGCATGAACATACGCTCATCACACATACGATACACATATGAATAATGATGAGTTCACCAGTGATGATAGGCGCTCGGGCTGACTCCTGAACCGATGTCAGTCTCCATAACGGGATCAGTATATTTGCAAAAGCCCGACGCATATCGGATAGGCTAGCCTGTACCTAATCTAACATTCTTGGTGCTAAACTGAGAATACTTTTTGAATAGAAAAAAATAAAAAACAAGTGCCATGAATTCATTTGACTGTCCTTGAACTAGGTTATCCACAAAAGGACGAGGATCCTTGATCTGAGCGAGTCATCTGTGAGTGACAGGGCTCTCCTGAGACTAGGAGTCTGCAGAAACCTGAGGAAGATTGATCTCAATACATCTAAAGGAGAGAGGACTGACATTACAGATCAAGGTAAGATTTTAACGTTTTCAGACCTGTTTTTTGCGGGGCTAAGAGGGTTTTTAGCGCTGCAAATTCCTGGGCTATCTTTCGTTTTCACACCTGGTTTTTCGAAAGTGGGTTAGCTCCGCAAGTTCCCGGGCTAAGCTGGCCCTGCTCCCGAGTAGGGTTAGCGCGACAATTGCGGCGCTCAACGTTGCAATTGTTGCAAATGACGTTTCACCCTCTTCCTTCTACTGTTGGTTTAGCTATTACTCTTTCCCAAAAGAATATGGCAAGCAGGAAAACCATTGTATCCTTAAAAATCGTATAAGAAGTGGCCCCATTTTGAAGACTGAAGTCGAGTGTCGACTTCCATAGGGAGTTGTAGAACTGCACTGTGCGTGCGCACACGTTAGGTCATGTTAATCTTCTGAAATAGTCCGATAGTCCTGGGCTTAGGCAAAGCAGGTGTGAAAACAGGCAACGTTTTAAAGCTCAGGCTAGCTGTTAACCCGGGTTAGGGTTAGGGTTAGGTGTGAAAACATAATTTCTTAGCCCTGGCTATCCTTAGCCCGGTCCTTAGCCTGGGTTATCTGAACCAGGTGTGAAAACGGTATGAGTCTTTCATTTACCACCAGCACCGATTGGTACGTTCGATTTGCTCGTTTGCATACCTACAGGTCTGGACAGAACAATGGACGGAAAGATTACTGTAATGGCCACCTGTATAGAAAGGTCACATTTCTTGGAAAATCGTTTCTCATTGAAATGCACATAATGACCACCTGCGCTTAAAGACCACTTTTCTTGGCTCCCTTGAGCAGTCTTTATGCACAAGTTTACTGTACTCTATATTCTTATTAGAGGGAAATCCAAAGTTCATTTGTAAGTTCAATAAGAGAAACAAAATGGCGAAAGTTTGAAATAAATCAGACCAATGATAAGGGAGTTATAAATGTTTGAAATATGATGTCGTTAAATCTATGGAAATCTCATATTGGTGAGTTAAAAAAATTCATACCTTTACAGGGCCCCCTGGAAAACAGTACTTTGATTACTGATGGGGCCGCCCTGTTTAAATAAAATGTAATAAATGAATGAATACCTTACTTATTTTGTTGGTACGATTTCATCCAAACCAGGACTACTTATCTGATATTTCTGCTTTCTTATGAAATAAATGTCTGCTAAGGTTAGATTTTTCCTTTAAAATGATGTCATTCTCACTTTTCACTAGGGATCCAAGCCTTGGCTACATCCTGCCCATATCTGAGTATTGTTTATCTGCGTCGGTGTGTTAGCCTTGAAGACCCGTCTACCATAGCCTTAGCTCAGTCTTGCCATCAGCTCATGGAACTCAACCTCGGAGGCTGTATCAGATTGACCGATGCCTCTCTACAAGCCATTGGACAGAACTGCAGAATGCTCAAGAGTCTGAATATCTCCAGAACTAAGGTCAGATTTAAAGCCTGTCTGCACTAGTTTGGCCAGGTGGGATTAGACCTCCTTGAAAGGTCACTGACGGGTGGTTATATCATCAAATCAGCTCTCAATTAACATAAGAAAAAGGAGATCATGGGGGACCAACAGGCACTGATTAGGCATTGTTTGCTATATAGAGGGCGCAAGTAGATATAAGTAGTACAGTAGGGCTTAAAATTCAAAATCGAATTCATCTTCATAGTTGTTCATGTATGTAGATTAATGTCTTACTGAACGACATTAGTGCCAAGGTGGGACTCCAACCATAAACCATGTGATCCACAGTCCAGCGATGTATCCACTATACCACACCATCTTTTGCCTATACAACAAAAAAGCTTAATCGGAAAGTAATTTTCTCAGTATTTGTAGTCCAGTGGTCTGATCACTTAACTGGAAATGCAAAGGTCGTGGTTTTGAGCCCAGGTACGGCACTTACATTATGTCCTCGAGCAAGACATTTTATTTGCATTGCTCCTCTCCACCCAGGTGCGGTTGGATTGGCATTTGCTTGCCTGAAGAGAAGATGACTGGAGTAATGATAATACTGTAAGCTCTTTGGTCAGCTAATGGTAAAGTGCTACAGATATATAAGAAACTGGTGTTACCATCATCAACATCATCATTGACATCACCAACACCATCATCATCATCACCACCACCACCACCACCACCATCATCATCACCATCATGATGATCATCATCATCACCACCATTATCAACATCATCATCATCACCACCATCATCATCATCATCATCATCATCATCACCATCATCAACATCATCATCATCATCATCATCATCATCACCATCACCACCACCACCACCATCACCATCGCCATCATCACCACCACCACCACCACCATCACCATCGTCATCATCATCACCACCACCACCACCACCACCATCATCATCATCACCACCACCACCACCACCACCACCACCATCACCATCATCATCACCACCACCACCACCACAACCACCATCACCATCGTCATCACCATCACCATCACCACCACCACCACCACCATCACCATCGTCATCACCACCACCACCACCACCACCACCATCATCATCATTATTATTATTATAATTACTTCATAAGCACCGTTTTTATAATTATTATTATTATTACTTTGTTACAGGTAACTGACGAGGGTATTTTCAGCCTGTGTAATGGTGTATGTAAACAATCATTGAAAGAGCTTCACTTGAATAACTGCATCCATCTCTCAGATGAAGCCGTCGAGGCAGTGGTCAACTTCTGCCCCAAGATTGCTATTCTTCTCTTCCATGGATGCCCATGTATTACAGGTAGGATCAGTCGAAGTGTTAAGTATTACAGGGGGTGTTTCACAAAGACCCTCAGTTGAACTTATCTCAAAGTTGGACTTGGCAATTATGGAAAGCCGTTAGCATCTCTGAAAATATTTTGTAAAAGTTATTTTAAAAGGCATAAAATGTTGATTCAGGTCATTCATATTTTCCATGTTCAAGGAAATTTCATGTTCTTGATGTGAAATCTATGAAAATTCTAAAATACTTGATTATTTGCTTTTTAATATATTTTTGTTAAGGCTACAAATGGCTCTCCATAGTAATTAAGTTCAACTTAGAGTTAAGTTAGACCTACATGTATGATCTTTGTGAAACATCCCCCCCCCCCCATGTAGGATATAATTTATTGTCCATATCAGGAAATTTTGATTTCTACTGGTCATACAATATGATCATACACATATTGTGGCAAAATACATACTTAACATACACATAATCGAGTCATATCATCATTCTTACAATCACTTCCATTACTCACTAGAATCGTTATCAACAAAATGAGCTCATTATTGTTATTATTATTATTTTTATGAACTACTTGATTTGTTTGAAAATCGTTGGAGAGAAGAGAAGCCTAGAATCAAGAGTTTAGTTGTAAAAAGACGTAGTTCCCTGTTCTTTAGTTTCTTGGATAAGACTTCAAGATATTCTGGTAATTAAGAGGAATGAAAACGGTTGAATGTGACGATTTGTACTACAATATCTTCTCTCCTGTGCTTTTTTCCTTTTTTTTCTTCATGATGAAATGAATGTTTTGGATGCAGCTTCCAGTACACAAGTGTAAACAGAGTATTACTTGAAATGGGAAGACCTGGGCATCATTTCACGAAACCGTCATAAAAACCCGGTATAAGTCATTGATGTCCTATTGAAACATGTGTTAAATCTAACGAATGCATTTCAATGGGTTGTTGGCGAACATGACAATTTTGTGACAGGCTGCCCAGGCTAACACCCAAGTGGTTTGAAACTAAATCAGAGCAGCAAGTCAATGGAAGCTTGAGAAAAAAGCTTAGATATAAGAAAAGTAATGAAGTTTTGAAGGTCATTTCACAAATCAATAATGTGTAATTGCTCCCCTCCCCCATAATTATCTGAGTTATAATTGGGATATCTTTAAGGGGAAAGTTGTAGCAGCTCACTAAAGCTGACTCTATTCTCTCCATTTCTTTGTTTCTGCAGATAGGTCAAGACAAGCCTTAGAGATGATACAAGGACCTGGATCCAAGATGAAACAGGTCACATGGACCATCTACTGATCTCATCATGTGATTAGTCATGTGACTCATCATGCGACTGGCTTTTAGATGAAACAGGTCACATGGACCATCGTGGGATCTCACTGTCATATGATTTGCAATGTGACCTGCCGTAGATATGATTCACGGAACTCTAAAATGACCAAGTTATACGGACCATTTACTGATCTCAGATCGGATTATGATATGTTGCTGATGATGCTTGTAAATCCAGGAGACCTACACCTGAATCATATCTGTGGGACTATCACTAGGTTAATGAGTATACCGTTAGAGTCATACCCAATGGCACTTGCAGACTAACTGAAAATCAATTATGTGTTAATCTTCTTCCACGGTTATCACAGATTATCCAACTGAGTGCCGACAGTATCCAAGAAGAAATATGCTTACTTTTGTACATTTTATTTGTGTTCCATACTAACCTTGATGTTTTGTTGTGAGACTTGCCATATTCTACTTACCGGTACATGTAAAAACTTCATATTTTGACATATATACTGCTGCTTCATTTTTTAATTTTTGTTTAGTTATGTGTGTGTGAGTGTGCTATATTGATATATTTAAAGTGTTATTATGGTTTGGTTCTGAGCTGTTTCTTTTTGATGGATCTTGCGACCCAAATGGTAGTGTTCCACCAATAATGAATGTGCTGGCCGATTAATGTACCAGTCCATTGATTTTATCGATGAATTATAAGATGGAATAAGGTTACTATTAATAATAATAATAATAGAGTATATTTATGAAGCGCATAAGAAATTGTAAATTTCTCTATGCGCTTTACAGTTTTGTACAATCATAACAAATTTGAATATATAAACAACATTAAAACAACAATAAATAACGAAATAGTATTGATGTAATATACAAGACAAGAAGGTTTATACATGGGGATGAAATACTGCCAAAACATGTATGATGTTTGTATGCCTCCGCTAAAAAAGTAGCCAGAGGCATTATGTTTTCGGGTTGTCCGTCCATAATCACGATATTCTGAGAACCTTTTAATGGATTGCAATCAAACTTGAATTCTAAAAATTGCTTCTGTTTTGGTGTGTAAAATTACTCCATGGCAGAGGTAGCAAACCCAATATTTTTCATTTGCTACACTGCACCGATGTTTTACTTTCCCTTCTTAAAAATCAAATGCCAGTGTGCAATGTTTCCACCACAGATGATGCCTAGAAGCGGGACTACCAGTGTCTTTGCTTAATTGCTACCTGGATACATGTGTTCAAACTTCAAATATTCACTCTTTTTGGTAAGAGGATGTATTTTTCAGGGCTCTTTTGCAAACCATTTTGTAATGTACTGAAGAGACTACCCTGTATACAGAACACAGAATAAGTAAATGAATAGAAGTTTTAAATCAGTTGTTATTACTATTTGTTTGTAAATTAATTATTATTATTTTTTTTTTGGGGGGGGGGGTTCCAGCTGTCATTACTTAATCAGTTTTTTTTGTGGGTCCAATTCACAAAGCAGGTTTAAATCTAACCCATATCTAATTTCTAAAACCATGTTTAACATGGAACCCCTTACATGAAGGGGCTAAATCTGTTTCAGTGATTTGTTCACTGTAACCCACGGGTTAAGATAATTGACTTACTAACTAAATGCATTTGTTTCATTTTGATTTCACAGTGAAAGCACCAAACTTGCTAATAATTCAAGTTGACCATATAGCGTTCATTTATAGTATGTTCTACGTTGATTTAATGAAATTACTTCTATAAAGACTTAAATGAATAATATGTATTTTTATCTGCAATTGATTTGCATATACCCTGCCTATTTCTATAGATTTCTATAAGAAAGTACCTATTATTTATGTATGTTTGTGTTGTTGTTTACCATGTACAGTTCATTTATAGTATGCTCAACATTGATTTATGAAAATTATTGAATGATTATTAAAATGAATCATTATTTTATGAAATTACTTCTAAAAAGACTTTTATGAATAATATGTATTTTTATTTGCCATTGATTTGCATATTGTTACACTGCCTATTTCTATAGATTTCTATAAGAAAGTAACTATTATTTATGTATGTGTGTATATTCATGATGTTGTTTGTGTTTGATTTTTGTATATACAGACATTATATTCATACCAACAGAATACTTCAAATATTTGATTTGTTATATATTTGCATCCATCCAATAAAGAATGTGAGACATTCCATCATTTTAAAGATGACAATTACAACCTTAGTGTGTGTGTGTGTGTGTGTGTGTGTGTGTTTCTAATGTTGTGTTTTGGAAAAGTGAGGTCAATATAGATGGCTATTTTTAGAGAGGGAGAGAGAGAGAGAGAGAGAGAGAGAGAGAGAGAGAGAGAGTGTGGATTTAGGGAGGGGGTGAGATGGAGATAAAGAGAGGGGATGAAGAAAGGGAGACAGAAAGAGGGAAGAAGGATTGTACGTGCTAATATCAATGTTTGCACATAATATATTATCTGACGAGTATATAGTGGAAATCATTTAGGTATAATATTGTGCGGGAATTCGATGAATCTTCGTGTCTCATGATAATTGTGATCAACTTCGCTGAAATGTACGTATATATACCATCATAATATACCATATATTCATTTCTCAGACCCGTGCATACATGACCTGTGATCATGATCACGCATATATGGTGCAGTGCTTGCCAATTTTCAACATAATGTTCGTGTGATATGCATATGCAATTAAATTTATAATCCTTATACCTCATGATGCATTTCCGCTCATGATATAGATCCATATAGTCTAGTATATAATAGTATATGCCGACGGGAATAAGCTTTTGTACGAGGCCTAGAAGAGATCGAATTTCTGGTATCTGGTTATAGACCGAAAACTTCAGTCTCTCTAATCGTCGGTTGTTCCACTGAGACTACGTCTGGCTCCACTAGACCACCGAATGTCAACAAATGTCAGTTTTATTAAAGAAATGACAAAATCAGACGGTTATTTCTGTCTAGTATCTGGTCTGCTATAGACTTCCGCATTCAAAATCAAAGTAGTTTGATTTTTCAAATAAAAAAATTGTGAACATTATAACTCCTCGACATTAACTCCCGCATTTGGACGTTGATGGCTGGGGCTACTGCATGCAGCACTCCAAGTTGTTTTCAAGGATATAGAGTGGCCGGCTCCCAAAAGGACCCCGGCTGAGTCGGCGCTAAATTGTTTCTCATCATGAATTGGCCCTCCTCCTGCCGCCGGCTGGATCCGCCCCTGAGCTACAGTATAATAATTCCTGTCATAATGAATATTATATAGATAATAATATTTTATGGACAATAAGACGCCTTTAATGCTTTATTATCTCCGATATCTGTTGTATGCCATAAATTACACATGAAAATCCGATAATCAATAGCAGTGCATTTTTACTTTTTTTTCCCCCTTCTCTCGTTACTTCAAAGAGACCATAATAGTGCTGGTTGCATTTTGGTCGATAAATTTAGACAAAGTGGAATCGTCATTGTTTATTTTTATGCCTTTGTAATTGTGTACTGTGCCTGTGTGAGTCTGAATCATCTGGCAGTCTATGAGGTTATTTCTATTCGATTCGAGTTTAGATCTACTAGATCTGCAGTGCATGGAGATACTTCTTCTAGAAAAGACACTGAACCCTTCATTATTTGACACCGTAAACAGGCAAGTAAAAAGCAAGGAACTCTGTCTCTGCACTGTGTGTCTGTGTCTATGAACATGATGAAAGTGTGAATGTGAGACTGTGTCGTTTGTGTGACTGTGATTGTGAACTGATGAAGAAACATTTTAACATCCACAGGATCAGTAGGTCTAGTAGGGGTCTAGATCTAGACCTAGTAGAAGTCTAGACTAGTGGATGATGAAACTGAAACTTAAAAAAAAGGTATTAGGGTCTAGGTCTATTTTAAACTTAATTTTCAAGTTGGTAGATCTAGACCCCTCTAGAATCTAGGCCTATATTTAAATTGGTTGCTCATGTAGATTTGCTGTAGTTTCACCCCAGCCTAGGCCCTAACTCCAGCAGGGAGCTCCAGTCCAGAGCCCGCACTGGAAAATGATTCAAACAGCGGGTTGGGTCACATATTTCTGAAATGTAAATAGGTAGTAATGACAATTTTGACTTCATTTTTCGACTCCTCTGGGCATCCATCCAACCACTTGAAATTATAATTTGAAGAAGTCTTTGATTTTGATAGGAAAAGGGTGATTCGAATCCTTGTCCTAACCCGATTCATCCATCGTTGTAATGTATCCTTGATTCAACATGGCAAAGAGAATGTACACATGCGCGGTAGGTGGTCATACAGAGACGCCAAGTTCAAAGATCAGCAATGCGTGACATTTTCATGATTCGGCACGCGAGTGCGCGTGACATGTATGCCTAAGGAATAGCGTTTTTTAAAAATCTAGCGCGCGCGTCATGCGTGAGACCGTTTTCAGACCCTCGAAATGCGTGATGTCACGCCTAATGCGTTACACTTGGTAGCTCTGGGTATAGCGGCGCAGCAAATATGAATATTTATGATAAAGAGCGCTGTTTGTTCAAAATCGTTGAATATGCATGAATCAAAGAAAAAGAGCCACTCTCAACCTCTTGCATATGATATATACCCTATTCAGCAATTTCGAGCGAATGAGTGAGTTGCCAATTTGTCTTGTGATTTTCAAAGATTTTTATGTCATTAAAAATTCACAACTCTCTTAGATCTATTAGTTATCCGATTTTGCTCAAACTTGTTTTGATTGGTTTGTCTAATTTTTCTGCTTTTATTGCAAGTAAGTTTTCTTTAGAGTGGACTTGCCCTTTAACTTTAAGCTGCGTAGAAAATCTGACATTTTGGAAATGTAAATGATGCTTCCTGATCAAAATGATTCCTAATGATTCCTAATTGTTAGATAATTTATCACCTGACTGTTGTTATAGATTGTAGACTATAATGGTTATCGTTGAAAAATTTGTGGATGATGTCATACCCCTCAAATGATTTTTTACTTTAGAGACTAGAGTTGATTCTACAATATATTTGTCATGTTTTGATTGTCTGGTTTCATTTACATTTCCCCTCTTCAGGTTCTGGGAGACCATACACAACAGACAAACAGAAGGATACAATACAATAGAACCCAGGTTCTTTTCATCTACCTAAAGAGTGAATATAAGCCACCACCATGCAGGCCTTGTTTGGTAAGAAGAAGACGCCGGAACAGATGCTGAAGCAGAACCAGAGAGCGCTCAACCGTACGATACGAGAATTGGACAGAGAAAAGACCCGCATGGAGCAACAAGAGAAGAAAGTCATTGCTGAAATCAAGAAGATGGCCAAGCAAGGACAGATGGTAGGAAAGAAAATCATTAAGGAAAATAAATGAAGAAAATTGATTCATCAATGAATTTGAGAAATTCATGATAAATATGGTATGATGTGGCACATCCTTGCACAGGGGGATTATTTGTGTGGCAGATAAAAAGTTAAGAGGCAATGTAGTAAATCTTGCAACAATGCACGTTAAAAGTAAAGACCAGTTTTGGAAACGCCTCCCTCTCAAAAAATGAAATGGAAGCTCAATTACCAATCATGTGAAAGAATATGTTTTGACTAATACTGTACATGATGATACAAATTTTGCTGAGAAACCACCTACTAATTGATATATTTGGTAAATTATTTTATCTATTTGGACCGGATAGATATCGCGCACGTGTCACCCATGTGTCGCGTAGTCCCATATACATCTTTCTTTGTACAGTGCTTGTTACTTTAGCAAGACTGGGTCAAATTTCTTATCATTTTGATGATTCCAGAATCCAGAACCTTGCAGTACACACCAATAATTATATGCTACATGTAGATGATCAACCTTTTCTGATCGATTCCACGGCATTTCTTTCACAATGCAATTACGTGACCAGAACTGATCTTTACCTTTAAAATGTATGTAGCAATGTATTACAGGTTCCCTGAAATATACACATGTGGTAATTGCTTTCTTTGATAAAAAAAAAAACAATTACCAGAAAAAAAGAAAAACAAATTTGAAAGAGTTAGGCCCTTCTTACTCCTGTATAATTATGAAACATCTGTTTATTCATGTTTCTAATGCATCTTTACTTTTCTTTTCTCAGGATGCAGTGAAGATCATGGCCAAGGACTTGGTTAGAACAAGGAACTTTATCAAGAGATTCATCTTAATGAAAGCAAACATTCAAGCTGTCTCGTTAAAAGTACAGACGTTGAGATCTCAGAATGCAATGGCGAATGCAATGAAAGGAGTATCCAAGGCATTGAAAACAATGAACACAAAGGTAAGATCAGAATTAACAGGGTGGTCTACACACAAAAATTCAAACATTTAAAGCCTGTCTGTACTAGTTTGGCCAGGAGGGATTAGACCTCCCTGTGTGGTCACTGACAGGTGGTTATCTCATCAAATCAGATCTCAATTAACATAAGAAAAAGGGGATCATGGGGGACCAGTGGTCACCTATTACTCATTGTTTGCTTTATAGAGGGCGCAAGTAGCTATATGTAGTGCAGTGGGGCTTTAAAATTGAAAATTGGAAGGAATATGAACTGATGTGTGCGAAGCGTATAGTACATCTCTTGTTGCCTTGGCCCACTAAGGGCTCTATAAGGTTTTCAAATGCCCTCTGTTGCAATTTGCGCCATATTTTAGAGTATTTTCAAACAAATATTCTGACTAATATTTCAGAAATAAGTTTGGTTGAGAAAGAATTTTAACCTATCACTGATTTTAAAACATGTGATTTCAATTTCAAACCAGCAGCTTTTTTACTTACATGTAATTTTCAAATTCAAACCTATCACTGTAAGACTTCGGGGTATTATAACAACTTAACGATGGAAGATTGCATAGTATGAGGACTATTACTATTTCCATGGTAGGTCAAACAAATAATGATGATGATGAATCTTTAAAGCTGTTCTTTTCTTCTTCCAACAGATGAAGTTACCTAAGATTCAGAAGATAATGATGGATCAAATAAATAATGATGACGATTAACCTTTAAAGATGTTCTTTTCTTCTTCCAACAGATGAAGTTACCTCAGATCCAGAAGATAATGATGGATCAAATAAATAATGATGATGATTAACCTTTAAAGATGTTCTTTTCCTCTTCCAACAGATGAAGTTACCTCAGATCCAGAAGATAATGATGGATCAAATAAATAATGATGATGATGAATCTTCTAAGCTGTTTTTTTCTTCTTCCAACAAATTAATTTACCTCAGATCCAGAAGATAATGATGGATCAAATAAATAATGATGATGATGAATCTTAAACCCTGTTCTTTTCTTCTTCCAACAGATGAAGTTACCTCAGATACAGAAGATAATGATGGATCAAATAAATAATGATGATGATTAACCTTTAAAGATGTTCTTTTCTTCTTCCACCAGATGAAGTTACCTCAGATCCAGAAGATAATGATGGAGTTTGAGCGTGAGTCTGAGATCATGGATATGAAGGAAGAGATGATGAATGATGCAATCGATGATGTCATGGAAGGAGATGACGATGAAGAAGAGAGGTAAGAACACATCACACAATTATAATTCTTATGGATTATTTATCAATAATGATAAGTCTGATGGTCTCTTCAGTTCTTATATTTATATTGTATTGTTTAATACAGGTTTACCCAAAACTTACTTATGCTTTATATGTTTTTATAAAATGGGTTCAAGAATGTAGCCAATGAGAAGCGTCAAAATGGATCACGTGACTGGCATTATTTTTTAGTTATATGCACGGTACCATCTGCATGGGGTGCATTTTGGTGATAACAACCGTGGATGAAGGTTGCAGGGGGACATTTTATGGCCTTGCTATTAGTAAGATTGCTGATACATTTTATGAAACAAATAATATATATTTTTTTTTGTGACGTTAATATGGCAATGCAGCGCTATTCAGGTATTCACAATGGCACAAAATATACTCGGCTATTTGTTGTGAATTTTATTGCACCATAGTGAATACCCTCATGCGCTGCATTGACCATAAAGCACTCACACTTGTGTATTATTTGTATAATAATGGGATTTGTGCCCTCGTTCTTGTCTTACTGCTTGTCAAAATTATTCATGTCAATATGTATACATCGTATTATTTAAACATATTATTAATATGTAACAAATAATGGGTGAAAATATGTTTCTTTGATTCAAAAGAAACATATTTGACCGTTTGTATGCAGTCGTTTTGTTTTTAATGCAAATTTGCTAATGGGATTTGCCGACAGGCCCTAGGTTTGAAACTAAGTCAATATGCTAGTGCCCTTTGTTAAGACATTACTTCTCATTACCAGTCAAAGCCTCGGTCCCCTGATTGCTTACGTACAAGCATTTATATATTTTGTAATTTGCTTATCTATTTTGTTATTTATTATGCTGTTTATATATTCAAATTTGTCATGATTGTAAATCCATAGAGAAATTTTCTATTTATTATGCGCTTAATAAATATTCTCTATTATAATTATTATATACAACATGCTTTCTCAGCAGTCAGGTTAAACGAACTAACAAAGCAACCAACATATTGTTACTTAATTCAGCACTTAAATGATTTCCATTGAATGTTTTTGTTAATCAATCATGGAACTGTTTATTTTGTTTTGTTTTGTTACAGTGATGTCATTGTGTCTCAAGTGCTTGACGAACTTGGTCTTTCATTAACAGACGATCTAGTTGGTACGTATTGCAAATTCTTTCTTTACTTGTACATCTGGACCCTGAGTCGTAAAACTTCTTATCAAAAAAAAAGTTACAATGACTGTTATAAGCTACTGGAGTCGTGGCATTTGTTTGGCTGACATCAAATTTTCCATAGAAATTTAGCTTTTGTAATTCATTGGAAGTTTTATGAAAGAGGGCCAAGGGCCAATATTCAGTGCAATAGTTTTTGGCTTCAATAAAATTCTTTGGTATTCATTTGAAGTATTTAGCCAGTATTTTACCCTTAATTTAAAGACACATAGTAGTTAGCTCTCATGGGGAATTCAACACCGTTCGGGTGTTTACCCAATAAGAAGTGCTGTCAATCACCAGATTTAGCCTTCAGTTTTATGACCAGCAGACCTTATGTAACGTACTGCGTTTTCCACCCATTCCCCCACATGGTAAAGTCATTATCTCACTTTTCCCGCACCCGAACACTCTCGAGCACTCTCGAGAGATGAGGGGGGATTTTTCGATTGGCCTACGCGTTCGCTGTGTGCAGACCTTATACCTGTACACACGTTAATGATTTTTATTATCCACCAAGTCTGGTGTCAGCGAATTATGGCCTTCTGCCCATGAAAACTGATGAGTGACTCCCTTTAAGACATATTTAAGATGAATTCTGACCCCATTTTCAAGTTGATTTGAATAAACAGAGAAAAATTAAACAAACAGAACGGTGAGAGTTCATCAAAATTAGTCGAAAAAAATTAGAAAGTTATGAAATTTTAAAGTTTTTTAATAATTTCATGAAAATATTATTATTATTATTATGAATATTGTTGTTGTTATTATCATTATCATTGTTATTAAGGTTATTATTATTATGTATAAAATGGTAACTGGCTTGAATTCCAGTCTAAGTGCAGAATCAAATGAACAAAATAATTGCAAAATGAAATGAGGCACCCGTATATGGTGCTGTATGAAATATTGTTGTCACTCCTTTCATACAGTACATGAAATCACGTTTTAGTTTTGGAATGGCTTGACTGTGTAAAGTTCTTTTAACTATACTGTTTATAATGTTATGCGAAATAAGGTCTCCCTAGCAATCTACACTAAAAAACTTGAAAGCAAGTATGAAGCCACAACCAAACAAGATAGCCATTTACTGTCTCATTCTCCTGGAGGAGCTACAAGTGATTGCCCACAGAAAATGTGATGCAGAACAATATTCTTATAACCAAAGATATCTTTTTAAAATTCCTTTGCAGGTATCCCCTCAACTGGAGGAGCGCTTAATACCAAGAGCAAGGAAACGGGCAAGGTCGCTCAAGCCGATGGTTTAAGTGATGCAGATGCTGATCTACAAGCAAGGCTGGACAATCTTAGGAGAGAGTAGACTTTCGATCCTTCAACCAAATCTTGTCATACCCTAGTGTAAAAGACACTGATGCTGATCTGCAAGGCTTGAAAACCTTAGGAGAGAATGGACTTTACATAACAGTCTAAAAAGCACTTGGGATAACGAAAGAGACATTGCCTTAGCTTAAAAAAAGGAGAGATATTCCTTATAGAATTAGTTCTCTACATTTTTTGCTGTATTGAGGAGAGGTTTCGCCATCTACTTTGTCAGCATAGCTGCAGAGAGATTGTGGTTTATAATGATAATCCTGATAGAAATATACATAGAGCATCATGAGCATGTAATAAACATTTAAAAGTTTTTTTATGACCTGTTGATGAAGAATATTTTTGAAAATCATTCATGCAACTCGGTGTGAACCTAGTGCTCTGCTATAAAAAAAAAGAAATATCTTTTCGATGAGATCCAACTTGACATCAGACCTTTCCAAAATGAGGGGGTGGGAGGGGGCAAGCTGTGGCCTTTGTGGCAATTCTGATTATAAGGATCCACCTTTCTTCTGTTTTGCTGGCAAAGGGAGTTTCACTTTGGTACCCATTTAATGAAAGGGAGGAGGGGATGTGGGAAGGCACATTTTTTTTCTAATTTGAACACTGAGACTGGTCTGTCCAATTATTATTTTGTATCGGGCAAGCATTATTTAAACAATGTACCTGTACATTGTACATACAGTTTACATCTGTATGTACCTGTTGAAATCTATTTACATGTAAATAGTTGTTAGCTATTTGTAAATTGTGACTTTTATATGAATAATTGATTACAAAACCATATGTTTTATAATATTGTCACTTATAATTATAATCAATTTGAAAGACACTATTAAAGAAATTGATTGTGGTATGAGAAATGAACTGTACTTGGGTTCCGGGTGCCACTATTCGCAGGGTTTTATATTAACCCATTGATAGTATTGCCTCTCATTTTTGTTCCATTAAGAATAATAAATGGTGTACCATTTTTTAATCTGTGCGATTATAAACATTATCAAGGTCCTAATTATGTTAGGAAAATTGAAATGTATATTCATTTTTTTTTTTTTTTTAAAATTTTTTTTACAGATAGGTGGCATTCTTTCTGCTGCATTTTACAAAAATTTACCCATTGCCATGAAAGTGTCGCCAATTTGTATCGTACATTTGTAGTTCTATCCTTAAAGGGATAGTTGAGTTCTGGTACAGAGGGCGCTACACAAAATAACTTTTTTGTGAGATAATGAAAAACCGAGTGTCAAATTTGAAAGAACATACAATTTAAATTACAAAATCATCTTTGTTTGATCAAAATCCGTTCAGAGACGGCTGAAATATCCATAAATATAACAATTTCTAATATTTGTGTACCACCACAAATATTCAATAATTTGAAAAAGCAGTTGAAAAAACAAAATAGCGCCTTTTAAGTTGTATTTTCAGCCAATGCCGATGTTGGCTTTTTCGTGTTGGGTATATCAGGCACAACCAGCCGGCCCATGTATTGTTATTATTAATTAAACGGTCACCATATTTTTTGCAAAGTGGAGTTGAATTGGTATGATCGTATTGGCAAAATTTCACACATTTTGGGGTCTAAAATTACCTTCATAGCAATTTTAGGTCCTAAAAGGGCACTAGAAATGTCATAGATTAGAATAAGAGCAATAACCATGCACTTTGGAGGCATTTGCGATTTTGCGGTCTGAAAACAGAACTCAATTATCCCTTTAATGATCATAAGAAAAATAATACTAAATAATCTTGAGTTGTACAGATAGAAAATAAAGAGTTCCAAAATGAGACAAGCAATTTTAGTGCAAAAATGAATTGTAGTAGTAGAGATCTATCATAGCAAACAAACAACCCATGTACAATACTGTGCGACATAAAATATAAGAATTAGTTAAAGTCAGTTCTTTGGAAATGCAATGACAAGAGCAGAAATCAAGATTCTAGCTTTTGCATTCAGATTTTTGGAATGATTACCAAAAAGAGGAGAAATCATCACAAATTATTATGGTAGAGCTTGATATATAAGAAGATTTAAAAAAATTGTAGAGAGAATATGTAAGCTTTCTAACCTATTTGTATCATAGAAATATGTACATGTATATTATGTTTAACATAGTAAAATATTTTCTTTGTAGGCTTAAGTCTTTTATCTTTGTTCTTTAATTGAAGTTATTTTGTTGAAATGTATCTAAAGATTTATAAATCATGTATAAAATAATAGCAATGTGTGTTTACAGTGTCTTTTATTGAAACAATTATGTCTATAATAGGGTTTCAAACTAGCTAGAACAGCTGAAGACAATTTATATAGAGAACCTTTTTCTAATTGTTGCCTTTATGGCCTCCAAGCAACGGGACTATAGATAGATCACTTTTGCAACAAGTTTGCTCAGGTGTATGCCATGACCGTGTTATCAATCTTGCGTTTCAATATTTATTAATTCATAAGTGAGAAGAATGGGGAGGGGGGGGGGGGGAGGAGAAAGTTTGAGAAACAAAGAGAGAGAGAGAGAGAGAGAGAGAGGGGAGGCCAGGGGGAGGGAGAGAGAGAGAGAGAATGGAATACTGTATGAAGATGCTATGCTGGTTTATTTTATCAGAGAAAGATTGCCCAAGGGGGGCTGGGGGGGGGGGGGTTAAAGAAAGGCAACTGTGATTTCACCCGATTTCACCCTTTCTGTTGTTGTTTATTTAATTGTTCTGTTCTTGAATGACCGCACACCCCTTGTTGAAATAAAAAAAAAAAAAATTTCTCTTCTATCCTTAATAGAGGATGTTCTAATATAATATCTCTCCTTGCATTTCATCACGACGACAGGAAAACAAAATCCTACATCCTGTGCAACAGTGTGCATGCGCTTATATGCATAAACGATTTTATTGCAATATCGATACCGAGCCCTACCGCGATATCTGGATTTCTGACATTGATTGTTTTTGTTGACAACTTGATTGACATGCGCGGCAGACACACGACTTGGAAACTCCGTTTGTATGCTTCTAATTAGAGGTAGGTTTTAAATCTGACGATTTTAACCGTACTGTAGAATTGCTTTAAGATTCTTGCGACATTATGCGCCTCATAAGTAATGATTACATCGAAAATTATCGTAATACTTGCATTATAAATTAGCAGGAGGCAGGCATAGCAACCCGCAGGGATCGCATACCCGCAGCATCGGCGACCTGTTGCGTGGATGACAGTGCCATTTCACGGGCACCGTATTTGAACAGGTTACAGGTGGCACTTCAGTCTGTCTTTTAGGGAAAATGAAATTATGGCCTAGTAGCCTAGATATAACGAAAGTGAGAGTCTACCACAATGATCTTTCCTTCGTTTATGAAGGTAATTAAAGGATGTGAATCTAGATCTATAATATATATTCCTTAGATCTACTGAGATTGAGAATTCTAACCTGACCAGACTTGCAATGCTGGCATGAATGATGAAGTCACATTATTTAAAATGTCAGTGACTAATTCAATTTCAAGGACAAATGATTAAGGGAAGCTGCCTGTAACTGCCTTCGGATTTAATGAAATGTATGCATGACATGCACTAACCATCCTAAATATTTTTCCATTTTTATGAATTGTGTGAAATAATCACTTTCATGTTTTTTTTTTTTTGAGGGGGGGGGGGGGGGGGGGAGTGGCGTATTTTTATGAATTTAGTTTGATGTGGTGATGAAAATGAAAATGTTGATGATTTATTTGTCCTATGGTATTTCATTTTAGATTGGAAGCAATGATGATAGCATGGCTAATGAGTGTGGAACTGGTGACTCATTATCGTACTCTAAAGAGATCAACAAAAGTGCCCAGAAGAGTTTGATACCTCTCACAGAAGACTTGGCAGAATGGCTTTCAAGAGTGTTAGGTACTTACTGTATAGATCTATATGTACCATTTAAAAGAATTCATGTCAATCACATATTGCCCCTCCCCCAATTCAATAGAGTTTAACAGAGTAAGTAATACATACTTTATATAACTGTACACTCGATCATACAAAAACCTTCCCAGCTCTCTCCCCCACTTTTATGTAGCATTAATGTTTTAAAGGCTTAAAGCTAATGGTAAAAAACAGAATTGAAATTTAAAGATAAAAGAGAGAAAGGGAGAGAATAAAATCATACAACCACTGCCTGTAATTTTCTTTAATTTTTAAGTCTCCGGTTGGTATTATTTGTTTCTAAGTCAGAGACTATTAATTTAACAGTTATATAGAGTAAAGTACCCGGTAATCGGTCAGCTCCGGTTTTCGGCCAATTGGTTGGATACATGGTAAAATCACTTTAAAATACATCGCATAATAGCATAACACATATCCCACACATACCATACCATGCCAGTGTCACTGAAGAACCACATTTGCAATGAAAAATATATCCTAAAATATCACATTTTAGCGATGTAATCGGCGGTCCCGCTACCCAAATCTGAAAAATCGAGTTTCTTACGCGTGTATGTAAGAAATATGGGTACCATAAAATGAGCTTTATTTCAAGTATTTTTCAGATATAGAGCCCGATTTTGTGCTGGTCGCAAGCTCAAAAGTATCTCATCGCATGTATTAAATCAATGCAGCCGCACACCGCGACGCACACACGATATGTCCGTCTAATTCAGATTCCAACTTCCGATCACCGCTGTGCCTGTATTCGGTCAGGCGAGCACCCGGGAGCTCCGGCGTGGGATACCTGCTCCGCCCGCGTGTGCTATACATCAGCGCAGAAACGCACGGCGCGCGCGAGCGCTTCCGATTGACTTTGTACATGCGGCCGTAAACTGAAACGCTCGGCCGATAACCGGCTCCAAAACAGTGAAAATTGAAATGAATATTGTCATGGCAATTCGTGATTTTTTTGGGGGATTCTTTTTTTGTTTAAATAATAATAATATTTGCTTCATGATTTGAACAAGAAATGATAATAAATAGGAAGTAAAGAGTCCAATAAATAGGATTTTGTCTTAAGTGGCCGAAAACCGGGTACTTTACTCTAAATACTAATATAAATGTTACTTTTTAATTTCCATACTTTATACAGATATTTTAAGTTTACAAGGCATTTTGTATAACATTAGTCTGTACTTCTGCACTGTACTCTCATTACATGCTTCCGGATTGCATGGGTATAACTTTAATAACACTTGGAATTTCTAGATCAGAAGTCGAAATTGAAGAATTTTAGGAGGAGCATTGATATAATTAAATAATTTAATACTTCTCCTGAGCTGTTCATATAGAGCACACGTATTCTAGAGTCTATCTACAGCAAAGCTAATTCAGCTTCATCTTAATTCTTGTCCTATTTCTTCGCTTGTTTCTCTACTCGGTTCTGAGGCCTTATTACTTTATAGAGATTATAAGTTTCTTCTTCTTTACTTAATTCGCGAAGAAGCGTCATTACTTTGTACATGGTCTTACATATTCTTTCTACGGGTGCTGTGCAATATTTGAACTACTACTTGTGATATAATATATGTTCCATTATTCAATAAGTGCTATCAATTTTTTTCTTCAGATGTCAGTGTTGAAGTTGACACGTTCATGGACTCATTAGACAATGGTGTACTACTCTGTAAGCTTGCTCAATTAATCCAACGCAAAGCTGTAGAATGTAAAAAAGCAGGCCATCAACTCAAAGATGTAAGTATTTTTAACAAAATTTATTTAAATACATATGTACAACAGGTTGTTGTCATATTATAGAGGATATTTTATCTTTGTTTATAAAGCAACAATGTCATGTCAGATCAATAAAGGTTTTATTCAAAATATTGTGGAATATTATAGCAAACTTTGTTTTCACATTGTACATTTTGAATACCGGGTATCATGTTGTTTTTTCTTGTTGTTTCACAGAATGTTCCACAAGGAAAAATCAAATGTCGAGAGAACGCCACGTCAGAATCATTCTTTGCACGTGATAACATTGCAACATTTTTGTCTTGGTGTCGTGAGCTTGGATTAGAAGATACCTGTCTCTTTGAAACTGATGGTCTAGGTAAGAGAATATATCTGAATTTTAAGGGTATTATAGATCATAGATCATATTCCAATTAATTATTTAATTAATGCCTTTTACATTTTGATTTCAATAGTCTAATCAGTGTTTTGGTCTTGTGTGTGGTACGAGTGTAACTTGCTCAGTTTTCTGTGAGTTAATTCTGACATCCGTTTCTGAATGCGGTCGGTACCGCGAAGCGTGACTCCTTCCTGCATTCCTTAATATTAGAAACAAAAACAAACTGTTTATAAATGTAATGCTTCCTGGGAGAAATTTCAATTATTTAAACATATTTGTGGCTTACACCCAGTAAATCCAGTCCCGCTGGTTCAAAGATTTTTTTTTCAATACAGATCGATCAATCAATCTTATTTACTGGGTGTAAACCACAAATATGTTTAAAAAACAAACTTGTAGCTGTTCCTCTAAATAATTTTATTTTCTCCCGAAAAAACTCTGGTTCTGCAAAACCCATAATGACTTGGGCCTAATCTAATGCTCATATTTTGAAGCAATATACTGTATATATATATATGGAATGCCTTTAATACACCAAGAGCAAAATATGTTTCAGTGATTGGCATACTTTAAGGAAACAACACATACATACAATTGCTATTGTTTACAGCTGCACAATTTATTCACTAGTCATGCATTGTAGAAGTCCTAGTTTGAATTTAGATTGAATGGCATTGTAAAAAGATGAATGTGGGATGTGTTTATACACTCATTCAGTCAGGTGTGACCATTCTGTGGGTGTATCGCACTGTATTCTATTGTGAGGTAATGGCCTTGTGTGTATTGATTGTTAGTCATTGAAAGTATACAACAAAGGCAGTGTCGTCATGAACAATGTCTAATAGACTAGTTTACTTGTATTCATACATGTACACATGTCATTCCTGTAAATAAAATTATTAATAAAAGTCTGAACCTTAAGGCTTGGCTGGCATAGCAGCAATGAATTCACAAGATGGATTTCCTCCGTGATTTATATGTATATTGTTCATATAACAAGAGAATTTAAAAGTTCATTACTGGGGAAAAGTGTACACATTTCAGGCTGTTTGCAGCACTTGAATTCCATTCCATTCCATATACTGTACATCATCTCAATTGCTATTCAATATAAGTTTGTGTAGTGTGAGGTGTATGGGTAATTTTTCTAACTATTTAAGCAAAAGACACGTGTAATGCAGTAAGAATATGGTTTTCTATCATCGCTATTTACTTTAACTACAGCATATACATACACTGTCACTGTACATAATAATAAATAATGATAGCAATATTTATATAGTGCTTAATACTAATTGTTCTAGGCGCTCTACATATATTGTTCTGAGAAAACAGTGCTAGGTTAAAATCAACCAAAATTTCTTTGCTGTGGTTTTTGTTTTCTCGTTTTCTTTTCATTAAAATTCTAGGAAGATACCTAGGAAGAATTAATGTAAATACACAAGATAACATTTTACGTTTTGGATATTCATTTGTGATTAATATAAAGGAGAGAAATTTGAAGCAAAATACCAATGGTTATTTTCAGATCTCTCTTTTGTTGTTTTTAGCTGTTCAAATTATATTCAGTTTGTGATCACTTTGTTTACTTTCATGAACATGTTATTGTGACTGCATCTATATTTATTTGTGTGTGTGTGTGTGTATCGCTAATTTTCTCTCTCTTTGTTTCAGTGTTAAGGAGATCACCGCAGAATGTGCTAGTGACTATCTATGAATTAGCTCGCCTTGGATCAAGGCTTGGCATAGAACCACCAGGACTACTCAAACTTGAGAAAGAGATTGAGAAGGAGGAGAAAAATCCTAGACCAGTCTCAGCTAAAAAGGTCTCAACCTTAGATGAACAGGTAAGAACTTAGACCAGTTATAGTCTGAGACCAGTTATAGTTTAAGACCAGTTATACTAGTCTAAGACCATTTATAGTTTAAGACCAGTTTTAGCCTATAAGATCTTATCACAGGATTACTTTATAAACTTGAGAAAGAGATTGAGAAGGAGGAGAGAAACCCTAGACCAGTCTCAGCAAAAAAAGTCTCAACCTTAGATGAACAGGTAAGAGCTTAGACCAGTTATAGGCTAAGACCAGTTTTATCCTATAAGATCTTATCACAGGATTACTCAAACTTGAGAAAGAGATTGAGAAGGAGGAGAGAAACCCTAGACCAGTCTCGGCTAAAAAGGTCTCAACCTTAGATGAACAGGTAAGGACCTAGACCAGTCTTAGCCTATAAGATCTTATCACAAGAATCCTCAAACTTGAGAAAGAGATTGAGAAGGAGAGAAACCCTAGACCAGTCTCGGCTAAAAAGGTCTCAACCTTAGATGAACAGGTAAGGAACTAGACCAGTTACAGTCTAAGACCAGTTTTAGCCTATAAGATCGGGGTCTGCTCACTATTTATAAGGACTGCTGTTCATTTAGTTATGGGTTATGGATAGCGGTCCTTATGAATAGTGGTCCTTATGAAAGGAGGTCCTTGTGAATAGCGAGATAAATTGTCTATGGTTTGTTCGCTAATTAAAAGGGCCGCTATTCATAAAAGCTCGCTTTTCATTTTATCATGCGTTATGGATAGCGAGCTTGACCCATAAGTTATAGTCTAAGCCTAGTTTTAGCCTATAAGATCTTATCACAGGATTACTCAAACTCGAGAAAGAGATTGAGAAGGAGGAGAGAAACCCTAGACCGGACTCAGCAAAAAAGGTTTCAACGTTAGATGAACAGGTAAGGACCTAGACCAGTTATAGTCTAAGACCAGTTATAGTTTAAGACCAGTTTCAGCCTATAAGATCTTATCACATGAATACTCAAACTTGAGAAAGAGATTGAGAAGGAGGAGAGAAACGTAACTATAATAGTTATCCCTGACACTCTAGATCAATGTTTTGTCACAGCTAAAGTACTAGCAGATAGTATTTTGATATATCTTGGCAGTGTTGCTTGATTCCCTTTTTTTCCTTCAATTGCTTTAGGTTCGTAAGATCTCTAAAGAGAAGAAAGTGACGGACATCCATAGGATATCAGAAGGAAAGTACAACATTGGAGGAAAGATCGTCTTGATCAGGGTGAGTATTTTAGACATCAATCTTCTATTATTGTTACACAAACTATACTGGCTTACAGTTTATTTATTATAAGAGTAGTACAATACCAGATACTTGCTCAAACTTTAACATCTTTGTCAAGCACAATTCCTCTATACACCTCCTCACTCTAATAGCATGTAAACTTACATGTAAGCGCATTGATATGCGCTATAAAAGCAATGTCCACTTCCCGATGACTCAAGCCCACACGGTCATGTATATTTCCCCCACGTCTGCACCCCGGTGACTTAAGCTCACGCACGCCAGCTATTCTCCACTCCTGACGACGGATAGTCAACCTGTTCGAAACGTCGAGCCACTCCCACCACCCATCCTCTCCAAGCGCTATAGTTCTCCTTAGAACTATAAGCTAAGAAAGATAACCAACAGTCTTTTTCAAGGACTACACACCCTCAAGAAAGATTACCGAGAATACTTTTCAATACTCCTTAATCCCCCCTCTCTCTCACATGGTGCACCCGCAAGCCTAAAGCAATGTTGTATTCATTTATGATTTCCATTATCAACTTATCTTCCAAATAATTAAGTAATATTGACTGCCTTCTGGGCAATATGACATATATCGCCCGAACCGAAGGTGAGGGTGATATATGACAAGTCGTATTGCCCTGAATTAGGCAGTCAATATTACTATTATTAACCACATCAGACATCTAGAGCAAACAAGAAACTCTTACTATCTTATACTCTTAAATTATGTAGGCTACACAGGGTTTCCTAGCATTAGAAGTTGCAAAAACATTGTCAAACCAGCACTGTTCATCCAGTGTTTGACAGATTTTCGATACACTGCAAACAGTTTGCCTAGGGTGTGATTGTTACGTCACAATGGAGTTCGCGCAAAGTGCGCATTTTCTAATACACGATGCGCGATGTAAATTACAATAGCTGATGCGCGATGTAAATTACAACTGGCACTACATTATTGCGCACTAGTTTAACACGCATTTTGCCATTGACTTTTCAGAGCGGGCTAAAATATTTGTCCATTGACTTACTGTATAACCTATATTGCCCGCCAAATTACACACAAATCCCATTGACTCTTCTGAGCGGGGTAAAATATTTGCGCATTGGTTTTCTATATAACCTATATTGCCCGCCAAATTACACACAAAATCCCATTGACTTTTCTGCGCGGACTAACTTATTGTAATTTTGGTGACTTATCCATCAAAACCTTGAGGGCAATACCATTTAAAAATTGCCCTGCTCAGATGTCTGATACGGTTAATAATATATTATATATCATAATTATTCAACCATCTCTTTATTGATTCTAGATGCTGCGAGGGCGACATGTCATGGTCCGCGTCGGCGGTGGATGGGAGACGTTAGAATCCTACCTCGATAAACACGTCGTGACGTCCATGAAGCGGATCGGACGAGCAGTAGAGCTAGGAGAGGGTGAAACTATACAGGATGATTATTTTGTCATGAATGCCAAATACAAGAGCCACGATAGCGTCAATAATAACGGAAGAAGATAACCAGCTCTCAGCTATGTAAAGTTGTTTTCGTTCTCATTGTTTGTCATAAAGTGCTTTAATGCAATGTGTCACGTATAACATGACATTGTGACATTTATCCATATATTAAACCAAGGTGAGGTAAATGTGTACCGGTACCTGGCATGATAGTGTCAATAATAACGGAAGAAGATAACCAGCTCTCAGCTATGTAAAGTTGTTTTTGTCCCTATTGTTTGTCATAAAGTGCTTTAATGCAATGTGTCACGTATTACATGTGACATTTATCCATATATTTTATCAATGGATGAATGATCTTTTAATATGACTATGACTAGTGGTAGTAATAACAGAAAGCACCATTATTCATCGGTCATATCATAAGATTCTTCAGTTTTTGATGAAATATGTGAAGGAAAAAAAAGACTTGTTGTACGGACCACATTGCATGGAATCGCCTTTTACCATTTTTTTTTTACAACCGACCTAAGTGAAAAAAAAAAATGAAAAAAAATCACAACTGAAATCAGTGATCAAAATCTCCATGGGCTTTTGTCACCAATACTGTTGCCAAATTGTAACTACCTGTCTTAATTTTTGAGAGATAAGCCCCCCCCCCCCCCCTCCAAAAAAAAAAGGCAAGGCTTGACATTAACAGCGCACATGGGCCCCCAAAATCTTCAGTCTGGACCCAGAAAATTAGGACACTTTTACAGTGGTCTCATGCTTAATACAGACTTACAGAATGGTTGGTGATGAGCCCTGCAAAAGATACTATAGAGCCATTATTTTGATCATATCACATATTGCATTTTAATGTATATCATTCTTGTGTTGTGCGATATCTCTTTTGATGATTGAATACTTTGCTCACCATTGATCAAATTGTTTTTCTCACTAAAAATACATGTATTTTAAATTTTACATGTGTGGTCTAGTGGCTACGTCACCTGACTGTGGATCACATGATTCATGGTTTGAGCCCCGTCATGGAACTAACGCCCTTAGGCAAGACATTAATCTGTATGTGCCGCACCCAAGAAAGGTGAGGTAAATGGGTACCTGGCAGGAAGTAATTCTTTGAAATGCTAGAGCGCCGTGATGGCAGCCATGCTAAAGCCGGCATAATAATTGTTGAGCGCCAAGAGTGTCGAGTCTGACAGACATGAGCGCTATACAATACATGTAGCCCACTGTTTTTCTTGTTATTAGTACTACATGTATGGAGCAGCACCTTGCACACTATATGAATGCCTTTACTGAATGAATCATCAGCAAATTATATTATTGTTTGTGGAAACTGGTCAAGTATTTTGTCATGTACATGTGTATTCATAGAAAACTGCTAAGAATTCCAGATTTCGTAAGTACTCTAAAACAACCAGGAAACTGAAGAAGAAAATAGATTTCAATGCCATCCATGTTTCCATGTATTCTGTTATTTGTGTGTGATGTAATTAAAACAAGAATTCCATCCAAAGTATTCCATAATTTCTACCATACTGCTCGGTTTATTGCTCAAAAGTCTTTCTATTCCATTTATTATTGACACAAATGGCAACTACTTCAAAAAAATATGAGCGAGGTTTGCAGTACCACCACATCAACAGGATTTCGACGAAAAAATAATCAAACTTTCTCCCAAATCGACCTGAGCCAGTATCAATAGCCTTGTGCATCACTTATTGGCATGTGCAAACATGAAAACATGGTATTACGTTATATGAACATGATATATAGGGTATGTACAATAGGGTATAGGGTATTGAAAATAGTTGCAATCAAATATAGGTTCATTTTTATACATGTAAAACCAATTGCAATTTCTGTGTTATAATTACAAGCCATGTTATACATGGTGTTGCAGGGATGTAGAAATAGGTTAGATTATTCAAACTGTCTACTGTACATTTACAATGTTGCAATCAACAATAAGCTCTATTTTTCCAAGCCCATTGTGTTGTTTTATTTTATGAATAACTGCTAAGTAAATGTATTCGTTTAAAAAAAAAAGCTTCCAAATTATTGTATTCTGCCAAAATATAAATGAATCTATTCATTTGTATGTGTATACATTCCAGTCTGATGATTTAAAAATGTGGGAAATAATTGAAAGTGACCAGCTTTTTGTTATGCTTTACAGAATTCTCTTGTACTAGCACAATATGAAACCTTCAAAAACATGCCTTTATGTTTGATCTTATGAGAGAATGTTGTTTCATCAAGTTGGGGCTAGAAGGGTGTTGGCTCATATACTTTACTTTAACACAGAGGTAATGCCCTTCTGGCTCTAAACAGACAATTTCATGAAGCATTACAAAATGTAATGTCCTCTGATGTTGCTGCTATCAGGCCTGATAAAATCCCGATTTAAATCGGTTTCCCTATTTTTTTGTTGATTTTTTGCGATTTAAAAAAAAAAATTCTTCATGATTTTTTTTTGATTTTTTTACCAGATTTTTTTTTTCTTCCCTTTTTTATCCTGATTTTCCTGATTTCCCCCTTATTTTCTCTATTCTTCCCTATTTTGCCCTATTTTTTTCTCCAATTTTCTTACTCGAAAGGGTGAAATGTTGTTGCGAATCCTCTTCTTTTTTTTTTTACTCGGGGGGGGGGGGGGGGGGGGGGGGGGGGTTGAGGGAAAAAAAAAAACAAAAAAACTATTGTTTTTTAGTGCTCACTATCACCCCTGTGCTATCCACTATAAGACTTCTTTTATTTTGCAATGTGCCTTCATATATTTTTATAACAAAGTACGTTTTGGTAAGACATTCAAGGAGTTCTGCTCAGACTCATATCAGCTTTCATCTTTTATATCTCAGACAAATATATATATTTTTTTTGTGTAAAGTCCATCGATTGAAATGCAAATTTCAATTTGGCTCCATTAATTTCCCATGCCTTGAATTGATGAAGCTCACTTTAATTCTCCACATCCACTCCTGTTATTCACAGTACATACTGTATGTATACCAAAGACTGCTCATTGTTACTAAATCCAGTTTGCTGCTCCGGATTCTGTAAGATTATTTTTCACTTCTGGGAAAAAAATTTTGTAACAACATTCTTTCAGAAAATGTATTCGGTGAACAAAGTTTAGTACATTCCATTGATAACAATTTTAGTTTGATACATTGATTTTGTGATTATGGCAGACTGACATGAAAATGATGTACTACTCTATTTTTGGAGAAAGGATGAGGTATTTTCTTGCAATGAGTATTCAAATTATTTTATTTGTTGTTGATTATTTGTTTTAAATCTGAGTGTGTAATGGACGTACTTGTACTTAGGATGTGCATAGTGTAAAAAGAAAGAGATGCGCAGTACTTGAGTTGTAAATATTTGATTGTGCTCAGTTTACAGAAAAAAATAATATATTTTTATATTATGGATTTGTTTTGTTAGCTGCACCAAGCCTATGATTGCTATATTAATCTTCCAAGCTATTCATATTCTTTATCTGCTACGAATTAAAGGGTGATCCAACCATTGTAATAAGTTAATTTGTATGAAATCAGAATAATCAGAGAAACACAATGGTGAAAGTTTCAATAAAACCGACCAATAATAAAAGAGTTGTGAATGTTTGAAATGTGAAATATTCTGGATAGCATACTAGTATAGGTCCTGTACTGAGAAAGAAAAGACCTTCCCGAGTTATACATTTTGACAGAAGTGACGTTTTAGTTAGATTCTGTGTTGAAACAAATGAGAAAGTTGTCTGGCAGAACATCACAGTGACATTACTGATTCAACCAATTGAAAGTCCCCATACAACGTTCAATAATTCATAAATTTCTTATTTATTGTCCGATTTTGTTCAAACTTTCACCAGTATGGTTCTCTGATTTTTTCTCTTTTCTAATAGACTAGTTTAACTAAGGTTGGATTTCCCTTTAAAATCCCAGACGGCTATATTGTTTTGAAGTATGTTGTACATATACATGTTATACATGTGATATCAATAAACTGTTGCAATCAAGTGTTTGTTTCATTAGTTGACAAAAGCAAATAAAGAGTTAAGATGTCAAACATTTGTTAATATCCTTTCAATGTAGATTATAACTATTTGCAATCAATGTGTGTTTGTGACGGGCAATGTATTCAGAAGTTGTTTTCATTATTCAAATTGTTAAATGTATTCCTATGTATGACCTGTTTTAAACAATATTTCATAACGAAATGAAATATCTGTTAGTAATTTTTTTAAATGGTGTTAGATGAAGATGTATGTACATTGTATGGCACTTGTTTGGCGATGCAGTTGTTCATTTTTTATAAGTGTTCTCTTCTCTGAAATCAATTGTTGAATTAGATTGTAATGTGTAAATGTTAGATTTTAAGAGGATTCTACCTTGTTGTATATTAGGCTTTTATTCAGAAAGAAATTATTAAAGAAGTTCCATGCAACTCTGAAATGCAAGGAGACAATAAAAGGGCAATATGTTGATAGTAATTAATTACGATGTTAACCCTTAAAAGATAAAGACCAGTTATGGTCATGCGATTGCTTTGTGAAAGAAACGTGGAATCGATCAGAAGAGGTTGATCATCTAGCATATAAGTATTGGTGTGTACTGCAAGGTTCTGGAATCATCAAATTAATAAGAAATTTGGCCCAGTCTTGGTAAAGTTACAAGCACTGTACACAGAAAGATGTATATGGGACTACGCACACGTGCGTTATATCTATCAGGTCCAAATAGATATACTAATTTATCAAATATATCAATTAGTTGGCGGTTTTTCGGCAAAATTTGTATGATCACGTATTAGTCAAAACATTGGTAATAAGAGCTTCCATTTCATTTTTTGAGAGGGGGGCGTTTCCAAAACTGGCCTTTACCTTTAAATACTTTGTAGAATTATCTTTCTTGTTACCCAATGCTTGTGATATTTCAGTCATTAGACAGGAATTCTTGAGAGGCTACTTCATGAAGTGCTTCCTAACCTGGGATTATTTGGTATTTGAATGTTTTAGGGGGGAAATACACGAGGCATATTTGAATAGATATTTTTGAGAGTTTTTATGCCTCCGCCACCGAAGGTGGTGCCGGAGGCATCATGTTTTCGGGTTGTCCGTCCGTACGTCCGTCCCGTTTGACCGTTATCAAAATATCTCAAGAACCATTTAAGATTTAAACTTAAGACTCGGGAATAGTATTTATCACCATAGGAAGACAATCTGATTAGATTTTGGAGTACGTAGGTCAAAGGTCACAGGTCACAGAGGTCAACTTATGAAATTCCTTGTATTGAGTTTGTTAGCGCGATATCTCAAGAACCATTTGAGATTTAAACTTCAAACTTAAGGATAGTATGTATCACCATAGGAAGACGATCTGATTAGATTTTGGAGCACGTATGTCAAAGGTCAAGGGTCACAGAGGTCAACTTATGAAATTCCATACA